CTAACGCCATCGAGTCCAGTTGGACGGCCGGCGGGTAAAAAAGAATGAATTATTTGCCTGTCGTCGAATATATTATAGCCATTGGGTGACAAGTTAAACCGGCGGCCGCTCGGCCTCCGCGCCACCCGTCGGCCACTGGGGGGGGGGGGGGGGCATATAGTTCCCCCCCCCCATTTACATCTGCGACGATATCGTCGCAACGCGAAGAGATGGAGAAGCGAAACTTTGCACACCTCTCCCTGAATACCTAACCAAGCTTGTGTCCAAATTTGGTGTCGATCCCACTTAAAATGACGTCACAGTGACGTCAGAAGTCACATTATAGATTTGGGACTCAGTTTCCTCACAGTATATCCGTTATTTGAGACCGAATATAAAGGACTGATTATTGGTTAGGAACAAATTTGAAGTAAACTTAGATGTTTTAGGATGACAGCAGGTACCTGTCTAGTTCATTTACAATTGGGTTTTATGCTCAGCGACATCAGAAACGGTCCATATAGGAAAACAACAAAACTTTATGACGTCACTGTGACGTCATCTTAAGTGTTACAACCACCAAACTGTCCTCAAATGTTGCCTAGGTATTCATTTGTAGCTATATTAAATTTCACCTTCGTAGCTTATCACGTTTCGAAGATATTCCACAAAACGTAAGGGGGCGACTTCATGCTCCCCCTCCCCCAGCGGCTCGTGGGTTAATAAGGACTTCACCCAACACGAAATTGTTTTGGTCAGAGCATAGACCTGTGTATACAGAGGTCTATGGTCAGAGCTTTCGGATCGCATCGACAAAACTTTACCAGCGTGTTGTAATCAAGTTGGGGGGGGGGCCGGGGGGGGGGGGGGTGGGAGTGCATCGGTCGCAAAGATCAGGATGAATCATCCTCAATTTTGGCTGGCTCTGGTGACCCTTTGCCACTATGTGTGTTTCTGCTTTTGTCTCCACTTTGCTTATGGTCAGAAACAACATTATCATTTCAGGACATGTAGCCTTTTAGTTTGAACCAATGATCTAAGCCAGAGTAAATGTTGTCAATCTCTCAGCGCTGCAGCTTCAGAAGCTGTAGCCTAATGCGCCTAATCATGGTAAATCAGGCAGGAATTTATTCCCTCCTGCCAGCCAGCAGCTAACAAAGCAGGTTTCAGGCAGTGTGAGATGCCGAAGGTGTTTCTGCCCAAGTGCAGAGCTCAATTCCTCAAACTAAATTCTTGTTGAAGTTTCTAAGTTGAAGTTCAAGTCCAGACTGCACGGCAAGACAACAGGGCCAATGAGACACACCACCTACAGTGACCAATCCACAACAGCCAGCACCAACCTAGCAGGACCAGCTTGAACAAGACCCAGAACATAAGCTACAGAAAAAAAACCTATCAACTGGTAATTTTGATAGGACAAAATTGAAAATATTTATTCTTCTCTGGACAACCTTATTATATAATGCATGCAATGAGCATCATTTTTTCAAGTAGTGTTGAGTCAGCATAATTGCAATGCTTCAGCAGAGTGGCACTAAGGGCCTGCACCACCCACAAAAATGGATAAATAGGCACTTTAGGACTGACTCACTTTTCAAACATAAATTTTACACATTCTTCCATTTTTTGACATCCTAAATCGAGATATGATGCTTACATGTCACCAAAATATTAAAAAAGACACATAACCCAACCATACCTAACCTGACCTACTGATTTTTGCCTACCTGTGGATAATGAAGAAGTTAATCACATGAATAGCTTGCAAGCTATGGTAAGTCAAATATAATTTTAGGCTAAGTGGTTGTGCAAGCCTGGCCTGAAGCCAAATACAAAACCACTTAACCTAGAAATATTTGACTTAACGTAGCCTATAATCTCTCCTAAGGCATTGCCTTCGGCATTGCACTGCTTCGCCATGAGCCATTTGATGTTACTTTCCATATTGTACTGGTGCTTTGAATCTTGTTTGTGCCATGAATAATTATCAGATATGAAATCAAGAGGTCAAAGGATATCATGTGATTTGCTTCTTCCTTGGGGATCACACCAAAAGTAAATTGGTGATCGGTCCTTAAACTCCTAAAGTAAATAAATACACAAAAATGCTGCATCACACCACATTAAAGCTGACCACACTAGTGCACTAGCTTGCCATACTTTGTACTCTGGGTCAAAGATAACTTTGACTTGCCCTTGCCAATGGTTTAGGGCAACCACCACCACTTGCCAGCCTGAGGGCTGTTCACGGGCCCTGTGTGCAGTCGGACCGCACACAGCCTCCAAGCTCCGCCCACTGCGTCCCTACGTCAGCCTTCCGTCACCGCACACTGACACAGCGATCGCTGTGGCCGGTCGGGACTGGCCACAGCGGACCGTCCACTGCACACAGCCGTGACATCAGAGTCGCCTACCCATCCCCTACCCCCACGCCTGCTGTACGCACTGCACACACCACACGCAGCAGTGTGCGGTGCCCGTGAACACTGCCCAGGAAATTGAAATGGAGGATGGATACAGATGGGTTTGGTTGGTGGAAGACAAGAACAGATCATTTAATCGCAGTGTATCTGTTTCAGTTGCTACAGATGTACCATGCAATGACTGAATAAACGTTATTATTTGTAAATTAATCATCCTATCAGACGGTATGATTTATCATCCTCTCATCTCAATCTCAGCCGGTATGATTTATCTTGACAAGTCGATAAAGCATACCAGTCACCACAAATTACTGGATATTATTATGAATATCTCACCAGCAATTCAGTGTAACTGCTTTGACTTGTGACTTCATCTTAAATGGTAAAGTTCAGTAAAATGAGAGCCAACAGAAAATCTCTATCAGCAAAACATGATCCCACAAAAGTGAGAGCAAGATACCTAGGTAGGTGTATTTAGGGCCTTGGTAGGTCCGATGTTTTGAGTAAAGCCCAGTAAAGCCCTGGTGACGTCACTGACATTTCTTTTATGGAGAATTTCGCCCATAAGGAAAATATTTTACATACGGAAATTTGTATTTCATTAGGAAAAAATACATTCTTTCAATTTCATCATGAAACTTATATAATTTAATTAAAAAACTTGAAATCCTTTCAGTGCTTGTCCCAACCCCTGCTATACCTTTGGTCACGTGACTTCCATGATAAACTTTGCGTTTTGCAATGTTATGACTTAAACAGAAGCAATAAATGTTACAAGCGTATTATTTATGATGTTTGAGGCAGCAATCGTGTAATAACATCCTTGAATTATATACATTCTGCTTAAAATAGGTCACGTGATGTTACCAGATTGTGCTCGGACAGCATCTTCTTGAACTTCGATTTTGAGTACTTTTTACCTTCATTGAGTCCTAATAACGGACGTTTTTAGTTATAAAATGAAGCAATGAATCTATTGAGGGCAAAATTTAATCATTTTTGCACTTTCAAGCCGGGCTATCCTGGCATGAACTTCGGCCGGTTTGTGTGTGAAGCCTATGGTGAAGGGAAAACTTCACGCCCGGCTGACGTCACAGACCTCGGCTACCAAATCGTGTCCGGTGGGGGTCGAGTGAGAGCACAATTTGCTTTATATGGCCTTGAATTTGCTTTTGTGCTCAATTCACATGTCAGTAAGGTTTAATTTCTCAAACGCGATACGCTCGAATTCGCTCTTATGAACGAACTTCTGCGCTGGTTTTGCAACTACCGCGTATTTTATGGATTCCTGAAAAGGAATACGGGGACTAATTTAAAATGATTGAAAAATGGATATTTAGCGTTTAGAGATCAAGTACATTCTTCGCTACTTTCTTATAACTAAATATATTTAGATGAAAATCAGTGTACTTTAAAATTTACTAATTAAAGAATGGAAATCTAACAAAAACTAGGCATGAGTATTCACTGTGCAGATGCCGTGTGCAGGGTGATGATTTGCGACCTTGAACAGCCTTTCAGCAGCAAACGACGTCTATTTTCAATAGAGTTTCGTCATTCTAAGTTAAGTCGATTTTTTTAAATCTTAAATCAAAAACTAGATGAACTATTTAATTTCATTAACTATCATTGTACACTAAAAAAAATCATTGCAAATCCTGTGATAAGAAATAATTTTACGTCATATTGATGCTAGTTTGTTTGAAAATGCGCATGCGCGGGACACTCGCTGAGAAGTGCCAGGCGTGCACCGTGAGCAGCGCCACCGGGAATGTGGCGTCAGCTGATTGATGCGTGTGCTGCTTTTGAACAGTTGCGTACGGTACATATCGTTCACATTAAAAATTAACCAATGTTTCAAATTCTATTATTATAAATTGACACTTTATATTATTACATTGTGTCAAAATATAATCATTATAATGTGTTATTCAATGTATAATCAAGTAGCTATCAAAAGGCTTAAATTATAAATTGAGTCTTTACCAGTAAATAGAAATAGCATATTATCCGCGTAGTAAAGCATAGGCGTATTTGTGAGAAAATGGATAGAATTGAATTTAGCAGAGTCGCTTTCCTGGTTGATCTAATTTTGGCATCGCTTCTTATTTTACATCCGCAACTATATATCCCTGATGCCGAATATCCAGCGGCAGGCATAGACACAACACTTACGGCAGGGACTTTGATGCAAAACCGCTTCTGTAAATAAAATAACTCTGAAATGGTGCTGGTTGTCCACCTATTATCTCCAGTGTAAATGAAGGCCGAGAGAACGCGCTTTCTGAAAGTTTTAATTATATGACATCCCGGCGTACTGTACGTCGTCGTGAGCGACGTTTCACGGCCGCTGCTAGCACCCTCCCACCACACGCAGCGAAATCGGTTTCCACCATTAGAGTTCAGTGGTTTCCACATACATTTAAGAACTCGGACGCTCCAATATTGAATGACGTTAGCTGGTCTCTAAACCCAATGCAGTGACTTGTCTCAGACTTAACCTGACATCGACGTGACTTGTTGACCTACTGATGGAGAATGCACCAAAAAAATCTGTCTCGACCATCCATTCGGAAGTTTGATGAGGAGCCAAAAATCTGCATCCCTCCCAGCGATTCGTATATTCATCTCAATGCTTCAAGAAGTCCGGGTTAAAAATATGCGCACAAAACACACATTAACGACTTTAAAACGGAAACAAGCTTCACCACTCACACGCAAAACTGAGGCGAAACTTGAGCTGTCATTAATTGTATAAATGATAATGTGAATTTACCACGAGCACAGAGTAGTAACCAACAGCGCAGAACCAACATGCTCGGTCCGAACTCAGCTCTGCAAATATCAGTTCTCACCGCGCCAAACAGTCTCACAAACGGCAAATAACCGAGGTTACCACGATCACGAATGTGAATGATCATTGATCACCAATACCATAAAAGTCTTGCGGCACGCCGCCGCCGGCTCCCGCCACAGCCAGCGCAGCGGCGCAGCACACAAAGCGAGGCCACGCTAAAGTCTTGCGGCACGCCGCCGCCGGCTCCCGCCACAGCCAGCACAGCGCTGCCGTGCAAAGGCAAAACCTCCTATGTTCATTTTTGGCCGATTTGGCGTTTTTTATATCATTCGATTCGTGTTCCCATGTCGCGTATTTTGGTGCTGTCAGACCATTAATAAAATGTATATTTTAAGAATTATTTTGACTTAAGTTTTTTTGGAATTCCTATGTTCTGGGAATGCAACCGAAAAGCAAAGGCAAAACCACTGATGTTCTGATAAATGGCGAAATCTCCTTTGTTTAATCTCCTTTGTATACAAACCCATTTTTCAGAATAACATAGGAGAATTTGCCCATGTGGAATCGGTATCTTCCATTTGGAGGTACACTATTTCACAACGCAGGTGAGTTTTATTCGAGTTTTACCGCCTCAAACGGGCGGTTTATTTGATCTTGGCGTTGATTTAGGCTTTGATTCCTGCCGACGCGACCGGTCGAATAGTTACTGTGATTCAATTTTCTCACCGTGATTTCCTCACGAATTTAAAACATTAATCGATAATCATTGTCACTTATGTGTATTTAGGTAACCTATCGCCATGAAGCCTCGCAAAGGGGGCGTGCCCTATGCATATAACAGGAAAGTGGCCGGAAGACCTCATGTTCTTGTTCAGTGGGAAGACGTCAGCAAGGGCCAATCGCACTACGTGCCTCTCTCGTCTCTTAGAGGTTCACATTGTGGCGGTTCAGCGGTCACGATGCTTCATGGGAAGAAACTGTGGACCGGAGTCATAGTTTTCAAGCCACCGAAAAGCTTCGGCCTTGTGCAAGGTAAATACTTTTAAATGTGCAAGTACATACGTATTACATGAACCATGTTTGACTGTATTTGAAAACATTAAAAAGACAACAATCAGCGTTTCTTTTAGGATCAATTGTTTACATTGAATTCATTCAGTTCATTGAGTACCAGACATGTTCTTGGATCCCAACTGTGGATCTATGATCTCGGTGGATCCCGTGACAAAATGGAATCATGGATCCATGATCCCAATGGATCTCTGGACGAAAGCGAAGGTCGGATCTATGATCCCAGTGGATCTCTCGACAAAACCAAAGGTTGGATCCATGATCCGAGTGGATCTCTCGACAAAAACAGTTTTTGACACTTATAACTGTTAATAACGGTTAATTAACCAATTTAAGCTTGAACTTGGGCATCATTAGTCACATATTGCACTGAATCACGGTCTTGAACCTGCTATCTTGTTCTTGGATGATAGCAGGTTGGGGAGCTTGGGATCTATGATCCAAGTGGATCTCTCGACAAAACCGAATGCCGGATCCATGATCCGAGTGGATCTCTCGACAAAATGGAGACTCGGATCTATGATCCCATATGATATCGGATCCAGATACATGGGATCAGATCTCCAGATCCATTTCTAGGATCCACGAACATGTCTGTTGAGTACATTCATACATTGAGTACATTCAGTTCATTCAGCGGCCCTGAAAATAGTAATTACAGACTCAGGAATCCCATCAACCCGCTTTTCACAGAGGTCGAAGATGAGGCGGTGACACCGACACCGAGTGGACCAGGCGGAGACGGAGCACCGAGCGTACTGGATGGAGACGGAGCACCGACTGGACCGGACGGAGACAGCACACTGACTGGACCGGACGGAGGCAGCACATCGAGCGGACCAGGCGGAGACGGAGCACCGAGCGTACTGGATGGAGACGGAGCACCGACTGGACCGGACGGAGACAGCACACTGACTGGACCGGACAGAGACAGCACAACGAGCGTACCGGATGGAGACGGAGCACCGACTGGACCGGACGGAGAGAGCACACCGAGCGAACCAGGCGGAGACAGCACACCGAGTGGAATGGACGGAGGCAGCACATCGAGCGGACCAGGCGGAGACGGAGCACCGAGCGTACCGGATGGAGACGGAGCACCGACTGGACCGGACGGAGAGAGCACACCGAGCGAACCAGGCGGAGACAGCACACCGAGTGGAATGGACGGAGGCAGCACATCGAGCGGACCAGGCGGAGACGGAGCACCGAGCGTACCGGATGGAGACGGAGCACCGACTGGACCGGACGGAGACAGCACACTGACTGGACCGGACGGAGGCAGCACATCGAGCGGACCAGGCGGAGACGGAGCACCGAGCGTACCGGATGGAGACGGAGCACCGACTGGACCGGACGGAGAGAGCACACCGAGCGAACCAGGCGGAGACAGCACACCGAGTGGAATGGACGGAGGCAGCACATCGAGCGGACCAGGCGGAGACGGAGCACCGAGCGTACCGGATGGAGACGGAGCACCGACTGGACCGGACGGAGACAGCACACTGACTGGACCGGACGGAGGCAGCACATCGAGCGGACCAGGCGGAGACGGAGCACCCAGCGTACCGGACGGAGACGGAGCGCCGACTGGACCGGACGGAGACAGCACACCGAGCGAACCAGGCGGAGACAGCACACCGAGTGGAATGGACGGAGGCAGCACATCGAGCGGACCAGGCGGAGACGGAACACCGACTGGAACGGACGGAGACAGGACACCGAGTGAACCAGGCGGAGACAGCACACCGAGTGGAATGGACGGAGGCATGACACCGAGTGGACCAGGCGGAGACGGAGCACCGGGCGGACCTGGTGACGAGCTGTTTTGTGACGAAGCCTTTGCATATCTGGAGCCAGAGAGGGAAGCAATGCCCGAGACATCGGAAATGCAAAGATATTTGAACCCACTGACTTCCATGAATGACGCGAACATGGAGTCGGTAGAACATCTGTTTCTGAGCGAAGACGAGCTGTTGCTTGAAGTGTCCCCGTTAGTAGGCATATTCACGCCAAGAGCCGCCACTAACACACACGGCGACATGCAAGGTACGACCGAGGAAACTGTTGACCCAGATGATCTTCCGGAAGCAGAAGGAGAAGTAGACTCGCCAGCGACCAGCTCACCCCCACCTAAGCGAAGAAAAACGGCAGTCAAGAAGAGAGCGAGAACCTCCGCACAGAAAGTCGCCAACTTCGCGCAGAAGCATCCGGTACTAAATGTTCCAAAACAGTGCAAGGATGGATGCCGCAATGAGTGTTTCAAGAAGGTTTTGGAATCCACTCGGATCGAGATTAACACTGAGGTCAACCAGCTCAGCCGTGAGGCACGCCAACAGTGGTATCGAACTTACGTCAAGTCAACAGACGTGCATGTTCGTCGTCCCGAACACCGGAGGGAATCTGATCCCAGGCGTACCAGGGCGTTCTCCTGGTCGTTGCCATCTGGAGACAAATCGGTCACTGTGTGCAGATCGTTCTATCTGACAACACTCGGGTTCGCGGCTGATAACGCTGAAGCTGTCCTATCAGCCGTCAAAGATGGTTCGATCCGGCCGGCAGGAGACGAGCGGGGGTGTCACTGCCCTTCGAACAAGACTGACCGCTATATGATCAAGGATCACGTCAACTTATACCACCCAATCAAGCACCACTATCGCTATATGCATGCGCCTCAGAGGATGTACTTACCCTCAGATGTAACTGTGCGTGACATGTACACAGACTACACCCGCCGTGGTGGGCAGTGCTCTTACGAGACATACAGGAAGGTCGTGCGCGAGATGAACATCTCGTTCGCACAACTCGCGGGAGAAGAGTGTGCGAAATGCTCCGTTCATCTCCAGCATTTGAAGGACTGCCATGGAAGGCAGGCGAAGGAACCCTCCGAGCACATCGAAGGATGTAGTGAGTGCTGCGCTCACGCTGAACACATGGATCTAGCCAAGATAGCTAGAAACGAGTATCGTGCCGACGCAGATAGAACATGGAGTGATGATGAGATCGTGCTGTCAGCCGATATGATGAAAGTCATGGTAATTCCGATTCTTCCCTTGAAAGAAGCCATCTTCACACAGAGACTAATTTGCTACAATGAAACTTTCAGCATCCTCATGCCGACAGACAAAGGAGATAAATCAAGCAGAAGGGCTCTCCAGAAGGAGAACAGTATGTGCGTAGTCTGGCACGAAGGACACGCTGGACGGAGCGCAGAAGAGGTCGCCGCAGCATATGTGCTGTACCTCGAGTCCGCCTGTCGGGACGTCGCTCATGTTACCATCTGGGCGGATAATTGTGGTGCGCAGAATAAGAGTTGGGCCTTGTGCAGCGCTCTTCTGAAGACGGTCAACTCTACGAAGACGAGAACGAGCACGATCACAGTGAAGTTTTTGGAAACAGGACACACGTCCATGTCGGCTGACGCTGTACATCAGACGATATCAAAGAGGTTCAAGCAACGGAAGATACAAGATTTTGAAGACTATGTCAAGGCTACGGAGGCTAGTGGCACAAAAACCATGCAAATGAGGCCACAGGTGAACATGGTAGAAGTGGAGGACGGGATCAGCCGGCAGCGACTGGCGGCGCTGTCAAGCGACGAACAGCGGCCATATCTGGCGGACCTGAAGGCTCTGAGAGTTCGGCGGGGGTCCGAGGACCTCATGATGAAGACTGACCTAAAAGGGACAACGTGGATGGCATACAAGCTAACGAAGAGCACGTTTTCAGCAGAAGAGCCGCTGCCAATGAGATCGAAGATATCTGGTATCGAGAAGGCAAAGATCAAGGCCATCTGCGAGACGCTCGTGCCTCATCTCGAGCAGCACAAGCGTGCCTTCTGGGAGACGATGGCGGCCGGCACAAGCGCGCCTGCAGGGACGACATTCGCCACCACAACTCAGTCACGCAAAAGGCGACGAACCCGATGAACATCGGGACATGATGAAGACATAGGCGTAGCGTTGCCTGGTGTTGTGATGATGCATTTGTATCGGCTCACAGTCTTGATGATTTCTTGTGGTATAGCTTGTGGTATCAATCAATCAATCAATCAATCATCAATCAATCATCAATCATCAATCAATCTGCAATATAAGCGTCAGACGATGCGTTTTGTGTAACCGCAATGTGATCAATCAATCTGCAATATAAGCGTCAGACGATGCGTTTTGTGTAACCGCAATGTTGCGTGTATGATCATTTTGACGAACGAATACATGCTTTGTTTAGACTTTGTCTTTCTGTCATGTTCGCGAGGACATGACAACCACGCATTAGAATGATTTATAACAACTGGCATACTTTCTTTTCATCGACGAAGCGTACTGGCAATAAATTATTTGATATTTCAATATCACTGGTATTCGTATTTGATACTTTGCCTTTAATCGCACCACATGAGCATCGCGTAGGTATTTGCTTTCCAACGCCCTAATTTCCCAACACAGTGTTTTTTTATAGTATTTTGCAACATAGGAGTTTTTGCCTTTGCAATGGAAAGGGATAATTTCTTAACATAGGGGATTTTGACGGCCTTTTGCAACATAGGGGTTTTTGTCTTCGCAAGGGAAAGGTATAATTTCTTAACATAGGGGATTTTGACGGCATTTTGCAACAAAGGTGTTTTTGCCTTTGCATCGCTCATAAAAATTACACTGGCATAACCTACTTTTAGCCTTTTCATGGATAGTATTTGGCATTGTCATTTTATTTTATAACAATGAAATTTCTCGTTTTCTAAGGATTCCGAGGATATACGATTTTGTGACATCTGTTGTTTCTTACGTCGACAATTACCAAAAACACAAAAACTGCTCTAGTGAAAAATAAAATATCGGCGAAAATCGAAACATAGGAGGTTTTGCCTTTGTACGGCAGAGCGGCGCAGCACACAAAGCGAGGCCACGCTAAAGTCTTGTGGCACGCCGTCGCCGGCTCCCGCCACAGCCAGCGCAGCGGCGCAGCACACAAAGCGAGGCCACGCTAAAGTCTTGCGGCACGCCGCCGCCGGCTCCAACCACAGTCAGCGCAGCGGCGCAGCACACAAAGCGAGGCCACGCTAAAGTCTTGCGGCACGCCGCCGCCGGCTCCCGCCACAGCCAGCGCAGCACACAAAGCGAGGCCACGCTAAAGTCTTGTGGCACGCCGCCGCCGGCTTCCGCCACAGCCGGCGCGGCACACAAAGCAGGGCCACGCTGAAGTCTAATCACCAGGATGCACGTACAGGCGCGCACGCTTGGCCTCCCGGCTGCAGGTAGGCTGCTCCTTTCGGAGACGTTCTCTGTCGCCGATGAGGCGCCGGATCTCACGTACCCGCAGCTGCGTCCTAGTCATAGCGTACTTCCTCAGTACGTATGGATGCAGCTGCGGGAACTTCAGCGCAGCAGCCTCGGCAAGTCGCCTAACGACGCCGGGGCCGCGGTCGACATCTCCTCCGTGCATCGTGGTGAACAGCACCTCCAGCTGCTCAACCTCATCGAGCCACCGCGCGCTGGGCACCGTGAGGCCGCCGCGGCTGAGGGTGTCAATCCAGGCGTAGCGCTCGTCACGGGGTACCTCGCTGGCATCGGACGTGATCTTGCCGAGCGTGCTGTCCACTGTGGCGCACTTAGCGGCCACGTACCCCGCGACGTACGCCAGCGCCTGCCTGGAGAGACTGGCGACACCGGTTGCTCCAGAGGGAAGGCTTGCAGGTGGCGGGGCGGCGCCGGCGCTGGCTGCGGGTCCCGGACACGGCTGGCGGGCGGTCACCAGGTTCTCCACCGCGGTGACGTCCGCGTCCGGCACCTCTGGCTCCACTGGCGGCTCGTGGTCCAGGTCCAGCGTCGTGGCGCTCAGGTAAGTCGGCTCCTTCTCCTCCAGCAGTACTGAGGCCCCGGACTCGCGCGGGTCATCGTGGGTTGCGGCGGCCACTGTCGGCGCAGCTCCTATGAGGAGCAGGCGGAGGCGGTTCTTGGCCTCCACTGCCGTGGGGTTGGTGTTCGCCGCACCCATGCCTCTCAACTGAAATAGAAACAGTGGTTGGTAAAATACCTAAAAAAAAGACTCGATTAGGTGGGCATTAAAGGTGCGGGGTATAACTTAACCACTGTGACAACAGGTCTAATATTTATTGTTTTTTACCATTACCGGGTCACCCAGTGAAATCAAAGAAGTGAAACAAAACATAGTTTATCAGAGTGAGGTAATTAAAGTCTATTATAACACAAAAGAGGTGAGTGTGAGTGGGTAACACTTAATATATATAAAAAAGACCAATGTCTTCATTACGAGTAAACCATGAATGTTTATTGTTTAAGGATAGAAAAAATGCCGTCAAAGTACTTATATACACAACCCAGATATGTAGTAAGCTACACATTCGGGCGAGACGTATTAAAACAATCAAATTAAAATAAATTTCAAGGCTAGATACAATACCAGGACAAAGGGCTTTGCGTGATAGTCTATGTGCATATTGCTCTTAATGTTTACCTGCATAAAAAAAGAAAGAAAGAAAGAAAGAAAAGAATCGCCCGTGTTTTATTTGAGCTGCATCAAAATGTGTGACTGATGTTAGAATGCTTACCTGCGAGAAGAACCAGGAGTAGGCCAAGGTCTCCGGGTGACTGAGGAGACGAACAGGAGTGGATTGAACATGGGACTGCATGGCAATGAACAGCATGGAACTGCGCCTAGGTCAGTGGAGCACAAGATGGACGCACACTGCTGATGCATGATGACCAATAGATAAACACAATCCCCTGAAAAGAAACCAACCAGATTTAGGAAGGGTGTACACATTGTCTAAGCGCGTGTATGTAACACACGCCACTGGTCCAGCTGTGACCAGCTGCTGTATTACTTTTTACTTTTTGGGACCTCCGCTGTTCCTACGACGTCATTTGGAAGCAATACCTAATTTGGCATGCTTAAAGTGCGGCAGATGTTGCGCGCAATGCAGCATATATCACCAGGTGTTACCAAACGTTTTAGTAAAATATTTTAAAATCGTCAGATCTGCGCTGACGTCACACATTCAGAGGGGGACATTCAAAAACATTAGCCCTTCTGAATCCAAGTGCTGCAACTTTGAGATCAAATATTTTCGATTTGAAGCATTTTTCGATGTTGTGAGTACCCAAACCGGTAATTGCACGCCAGGGACCCCAATCTTGCTATCTCAACTGAAAACTAATGCTAAGGTGGGATGGTCACTTAAAGGAGAGGGCTGCATAACATATTAGCAGCCGCTGGAAATTATCTTCATATGCAAACCATTCAACATACAAACAAAACATGATATTTTAATGAAATACACTTCTTATTAGCCTAGAGCTAGGCACAAAGTTGCATTTTTGTACATCCCATGGCATATAGCAATTCTATCCATGAAAAAGTACATAGTTTGGTTTGTAAAGAGACTAAGGGATACAGATTCAACAAAGAAACAAGGTGAGAAGTGAGAACAAATACAAATGGGTCCCCTGGACCCTCATCCCTGAAAATATTATGTTGATTGGTGAGGCGACTCTGATGATGTGGCATGAACATGATATTTCTGAATTTACCTGGACAAAACTAATCAGTAATAGCTCACCTCCACTCTCCGCCCTGCGTGGCTACATCAGGCGAGGTACCATGCAGAAGGGCGCTGGTCGGCACCGCAGACGAAGCGGCGCTGGCGGGGACCGCAGACGAAGCGGCGCTGGTCGGCACCGCAGACGAAGCGGCGCTGGCGGGGACCGCAGACGAAGCGGCGCTGGCGGGGGCCGCAGACGAAGCGGCGCTGGTCGGCACCGCAGACGAAGCGGCGCTGGCGGGGACCGCAGACGAAGCGGCGCTGGCGGGGGCCGCAGACGAAGCGGCGCTGGTCGGCACCGCAGACGAAGCGGCGCTGGCGGGGACCGCAGACGAAGCGGCGCTGGCGGGGGCCGCAGACGAAGCGGCGCTGGTCGGCACCGCAGACGAAGCGGCGCTGGTCGGCACCGCAGACGAAGCGGCGCTGGCGGGGGCCGCAGACGAAGCGGCGCTGGTCGGCACCGCAGACGAAGCGGCGCTGGCGGTGGCCGCAGACGAAGCGGCGCTGGCGGGCGTAGAGGACCAGGAGTAGGTCAAGGTCTCCGGGTGACTGAGGAGACGAACAGGAGTGGATTGAACATGTGATTTAATGGTTGTGAACAGCATTGAAATGTACCCATTTCAGAGCAGAAACGCATACTAATTGGTGCGTGATGATGTTTGTAATGTGATGGTGTGTGGAACGGTGATATGATGATGTGCTGAGCATATACCCGTTGGTCATTAGAGGGTAGTGATTGATTAGGATATTGCAATCTCCTGTGAAAGGAGGAAAATGGATTAAAACATATTTGCAAATGTACACAAAATTACCCTCCCACCTTCAAAAAAGTTAATGAATTGGCATGACAGTGATGTCGCTCGGTTCAGAAAGAGCGAAAAAGAATATCTACCAAATTTCACTGAAAAATATTCACCGGTTTTCAAGATATTAGACTTTTACTTTTGTTTACTTTTTGGGATCTCCGCTGTTCCTAGCGACTTTATTTGGAAGCAATAGTTTGGCAGCTGAAAGTGCGGCACTTGCTGCACGCAAAGCAGCATATACCACCGCATGCTATCAAACGTTTTAGTCAAAACATTTAAAAATCGTTAGATCTGCGCGCTGACGTCACACATTCAGAGGGGTATCAAATGCATTAGCCCCTCTGAATCCAAAGTGCTGCAACTTTGAAATTAGATATTTTCGATTTGAGGCATTTCTCGATGTTGTGAGTGCTCAAACCAGTAATTGTGAGCCAGGGACCCCATTTTGGCTATCTCAACTCAAATCTAATGTTAAGGTGGGAGGGTCCCTTTAACAAAGATGTCAAAGGTGAAGGTCTCGAAAAAATAACGAGTGAGTATGAAATGTCATAATTCTTTCATTCAACGTCATTTATTAAGTTGTCTAAATAAATATCAATGGATAATGAAATACATTTCATACTCATTTATTTATTTGATGTCTTCCATGTCTTGTACTAATTGAGTTCAGTTAGTTCCAGCTTCCAACAAGGACTCTGCAGGGGTCACCCTGTCGCTCGTTTGTTTACAGCCCTATCCTGATTTGCAATATTTTTGACCACACTTTCATTAGGGTACTGGGTAGCATAGTATGTCTGAAAGGTGGCCAAAAAGATGGCAAATCAGGATAGGGCTGTAAAACAAGTGAGCAACAGGGTGACCCCTGCATGTGCAGAAGTGAAAGGATTTAGATTACTTCCAGATATGTGGAAAGGACCTTACTGACTGGGTAAGATACATAACCATTCCATAAGGGTACCTACTGGGTAGCATAGTATGTCTGAAAGCGGGGGCCAACAAGATCAGATGGCAAAGCATAGAAATGTGTCCCAAATAAAGAAATCAACAATTGACAGTGAAAGGCAAAGCTCTATGATATAAACACTATCAATGGCAAACATTGGCAGCACTACCAAGTGCTTATCAGTTGCTGGTAATCCTCACCAGACAATGCTGACATGCAGAGCATTTTCAGATCCGGAATGGCGCTGGCTCTCCTGGAAGAAAACAAAATAGTCATTAATTGATGTTGAAAGAAAGCAAAGTAATCATTAGGTATTAGGTAATTATTAGGTACGTAATAGTTATCATTTGGCCGGACGGCAACCATCATAAGGATTATAAGGAGGCACATTTATTTTTTATAAATTTAGTCCGAACCTTTTGAATGGAAGGATTCTCCAGGACAGAGCCACCGCTAAGCAGAGCTCGTTGCGATGGCTCTGCCCTCTACCCTCCGATCGTGCAATTCCTGGTGCATGGCAGAATTTTGAGTCAGAAGTTTAACTACGCACATAGCCGCGCACGGCCGGTCCCCTCACCGACTTCGCCTGGCTACGGCCTGCCACCAACCGCAACCATACCCGCCAGGAGGCTCATAAACATCGAGCGCCCGTCGCGCTTCGAACCCGGACCGTCATACCGGGACACGAGCTCTCACCTCGCGGAGTCCAACGCTCTACCGACTGAGCTACGGGACCAGCTTTATTTATGAGTTTGATTAGGTCAGGTTTGGTTTGGTTTGGTTTTGTTTGATTTGATTTGGTTTGGTAACTGGTTAGGCTAGAAAGGACTAAGGAGTATCTCCAAGTAGCGCGGACCCAAAATGCAGAGTGAGATATACCTAGTGGCTACAGTTTTTGCGCACTCTCCGTAGAAGCCTGCCCAAACGGTCTGAGGAATATTCCCTGGAATTCTCTTAGCAGACATCACCCGAGCTGCCATATCCAGTTAGGTAGGTTGGTAGGTTGTAGGTTGGTAGGTTAGGTTGTAGGTTGGTAGGTTAGGTTGTAGGTTGGTAGGTTGAAGTTGAAGTTGAAGTTGAAGTTGTAGTGAGCTGTAGTAGACTAGGTCTATTCAGTGCTCACATCGAGCCGGACTAGGAATGAGGTCAATTGTGGTGCGAGGAGGCAGGTTCGGCAGCCCTGTGGTCTAGCCTGTTTTTAAACGTATTTGTAGATGGAGCCTCCACCACATCTCTTGGCAATTTGTTCCAGTCGTTTACTACTCTGTTTGAAAAGAACTTCAGCCTGTACAGATGGCTTGATCTGCCTTTCTTCAGTTTCAGATGGTGTCCTCTAGTGCGGTCTTCATGGTCGACTTCGAAGAACTGCTCACTATCCACCTTAACCTTCCCTGTTAGGAGCTTGTACGTTTCGATGAGGTCGCCTCGACGCAATCTGTCTTCCACGCTAAGAAGTCCAAGTTTGTGGAGGCGTTCTGGGTATGGTAGGTTCCTTATAGGTCTGACAAGCTTTGTCGCCCTCCTCTGTACTTGTTCCAGCAGCCTGATATCCTTTGCAGTGTATGGACCGACAGCCTGCATACAATATTCAAGATGTGGACGGACATAGGTGGTGAACAGAGGCTTGAAGTTGACGAGATCGAGTCTGTCGAACGCTTGTTTTAGCATTCGGAGGGCTGACCGGCCTTTAGCAGCAGCTTTCTGACAGTGTATTGACGGTTTTAAGTTACTTGACACGTGAACTCCTAAGTCCTTCTCCAAGGTACTTTCTTGCAGCTTTTTACTGTTTGTGCCGTCAGACATGAAGTAGTCAACATTTGGATTGCTTGAGCCACAATGCATTACTTTACATTTTGATTCGTTAAATTTCAAAAGCCATTCTTCGGACCACTTCTGCAAGGATAATATGTCCTGTTGAAGTATCTCAGCATCTTGTTGTACTTGAATAGGTCTATATATCTTGGCGTCGTCCGCAAACATTTTCATGTTGCTGCGCACAAGGTCTGGGAGCTCATTTACAAACATAATGAATAAGACAGGACAGGTTGTTGTTGTAGGTTGTAGGTAAGGTAAGGTCAGGTTAGATATGTTTTGCTATATATTTAACCATGAAAAGACAATTGTTGCGCAAGTGAGACATAGATATGGCAGCTCGGGTGACGTCTGCAAAGAGAGTACCTGATCCCCGATGAAAAAACGAAACCGCCCATCCGAACGCAGCATGTGTCTGCCCCAACCAGATCTTGTCGAACCCTGCCACGTTTTGCAGACTGGATCGCTCCCAAAAATAGCAGAATCGTTGTCATTTTTAGCACATGTGACAAAAATAGCATATGATAAAAATGACTGATTGACCAAACCTCCCAGACTGATACAAATTCCTGTGAATCTGCACAGCACAAGAGTAAATTCACACTGCAAACATCAATGGAGAGCCCAGCTATGAGCCGACACATCAGTCAAGTAATCTCACCTGAACAATTTTCATCTGCGACCTGCCATAGGAAATACACTTATGACACAGGTATCGTCCAGCAAGCTTGCCAGGGTCACCCATTCCCAGGGTGAGGGCCTGAATGACGGACTTCGAAACGTACTTGGAACCAATCTTGTTCAATTTTGGCACTTCCGACTCACTTGAAATCAGTGCGTGCCCCCCATATCAATATATATATCAATATATGACGGCGTTGTGATATGCACAACGCCGTCTTCTGCCTTCAATATTCATCTTGAAATTTAGAAGCCAAGGCGTACAAGCGCTCAAATCTCGGGCAACATGGCGTCCAAATGGCGTCGGCGACGGAAGTGGCGCACGTCGCCATTTCTAATATACGGTTTATAACAAAAACGAGATAGTTTTCGACAAATTTAGCCATTTTCCGTAAAACCATATGCTTAATGAGGTATATCAATCGAAAATCAATACGCTAATCTATCTCAATCAACAACTTGTAGAGGCCAGCTCCCTCCCATTTTTCAACTACCTCTTTACCATAGTGCCTTTTTTCATTCAGACATTGAAGCCTTTAGGGGCGAATTTCGCCTTTTTCCGTAGAACCTTAAGCTTAATGAAAATTAACATCTAACAGACAATTAAATACTGGTGCTAATTTTAATTTTTATAGAGGCCAGCTCACTCTAGATTTTTTATAGGAACGCTCTGTCTAAGGGCCATCACTTCTTATCAAGCACAAAATGGCACTTTGAAAAGCGATAATTTAATGTTTTTCTGTTGTTTTCCAAAAAGTTCATATCAAGAGAATGCAAAAATCAATTTCATTTCTAAAAACATCAGAATTAAGTAGGTTCACTGCCTAGATACTGAGATATCCGAGGCTTCCTGAAGGCATGATGTCATACCGTGAAATTACAAATTTCTTGGCAAGAACGAATTTTAATGAGGATAACTAAAAATATGTCTTTATTAAATCGCGAAACATAAGTAATAGCAAAGTATTAGGAAAATCTGTAAAGTAGTTACGTAGCAAGTATCTTGCAAATCATGCTAGCACTAGTTGTCAAGACCTGAACCCGTTGCCTTCATGTTGAAGGAATTTTTCGGTGTTACCTAGTGTTTTTATATACCTTGAGAAGTGCAACAGCCGTTGGTGGTGGGCGTCGGTTTGACTGGCGAATAAATGGATGAATTTTCGCTAAAAAGTGACCCTTGTAGTGGTTTTCTGGGTAATATGATTGAAAATGGATGCAATGTGACTGAGATCGACAGGTGAACGCCATCAGATACGTCGCAAACCACCAAGAAAATGCAATGTGAAGGTCACGTGATAGCTGTCGACCAATCAAAAACCAGTATTCCTACATTCTGCTTCATTTTGCGAGAGACGCTGAAACGGGGAGCTTGGCGGCCATTGCTCCCAGCGGCGGTTACGGCGTGGAAAAGGGAGTCGTTCATTTTGATTATGTAATAGCCGTGATACGCTTAATTGCTGAATGACACAAGTCTTTCTATTAGGATTTCGTCAAAATAAATGAGTTTTGTGTTGTGTGTCCGCGTCATACGAATCAGGATTCCTGAGTGACGAGGCCGCGGCATGGCCACGGAAAAGTGAGTTAGCGTGATGAAATGCGTGCGGTTAGCCGTGTAGAGGGCCTCACCAAGCCATTGATTTTATTATGATGTGTTGTTTTAAATTTCAGAGCTCATATTATTTAGTTGTGTATTTTGCTACAGTGAGGCCTCGGCCTAAAATTGATGCTTGTACATGTTTGCATTCCGTTTTGCCATTTTTAATTTTTTGTTTCACATGACGTGTCCAAATTATTATGTCAAAGTATAAATTGATTTTATGTGCATTAATGTGCATTTTTACAATGATTTTGATAATTGAGCACACATGAGAAATGACAACAGATGAACATAATGATTAATGAACAGTTATTTTATGTAGTTAGGTACAAATGTACCTAATTATGTATGTTGTGTTAAGTTTGACAAGTTCTAAGGTTTGGGTACCTTACTGGAAGATAACCATTATATTGTTATCTTAGGCAATTGGTGAGGCCCCCTGAATTTCAATGAGTTTGCTGGTAAAATATGTATTTATTATCTGGCTGATTGTCTAGTAAATTACCAAAAGTGCATGATATTTGATGTGTGTATTCTATTAAATTTTAGTAATATCACTGTTATATTGCAGATCTGTCTTTTATCCAGCAGTATTGATTCATATTTAGGTATGTGTGATGCAATTTGCCAGGATTGATTGATCCCAAGTATTCTAGTGGCTAGCTGATGCTATTGAAACAGATGAAGTTTGTTAAGCATAGTTTTTTTAATATCGTCCTCCATTATTCAGATGTTCTAGCTCTTACTACTTGTACTAAAACTGTTTTTTGTTGTTGTTGTTCCTGTTGTTGTTGTAAATCTCACAATATGGATGTGGTGTTTAAACACCACATCCATATTGTGTCCAGTATCTCACAGAGTGTGCCCTCTGTTTCAGTGCCACTGATACCAAGCCCCCAGAGGGCAATGGGACAACATCAACTGTGGCAAACTCAGAGGTAAGGAAATGGGTGCTCACTGCTCATATAATCTAGCTTACCTATGAAATGAGCAATACTCACCTTCTAAAAGATTCTCAAAATAAGATGCTGAAAGGGCATAGACCATCGCCATCATCAAAGAACTTAATGTTGTTGTGACCAATTCATTTTCAGGAATCACTGTGGTTAGCAATGGAAAATCATCACAAAATAGGTAGTTACCTGGCAGTATGAATTTTTGTTTTGACTTTTTTTTGCTTTGAAACCTCCAGTAAAGCAGTGTTTACCCTATGAAATTTCTGGTTCTGTTGCTCATCAAATTATCCAAGAATATAGCTCATCATGCATGAGCTGTATGTGGGTGGTACAGCGCCCTAGATTTTGCTATCTTCTTGAGTAGGTAGAAGTGTACAAACCAATCTGCCACTGTTACTTTGTTCACTTTATGGGGGTTTACTTTTTTCTGTTAAATTGAAAGTGTCATAAGTTTCTTTCAGTAGTTATTTCGTCATTATTATTCAGTTTATTGTTGACTGGTGAAAGGGTCCATCAGAGATCTGGATTAGGACTTCATGGTAGTATATTTCCTTGTAGGTATCATTATTCATGACTGTCTTTACAGAAAACAGACTCCAATAATGCTGCCAAGGTGACCCGAACTGTGACTGCCAAGGACCCTCCACCTGTCAAGATGGATACAACTGATGGCCAGAAGACTGAGGAAGAGAAGCCCTTCACTGGACCAATTCAGCCAGATTTCATGCCGCCACCAGACAAGCCCCTGAGGAGTTCAAACCAGCTGCAGTACCTCAACAAAGTGCTGAAGACTTTGTGGAAGCACCAGTATGCCTGGCCATTTCAGGTTCCTGTTGATCCAGGCCAACTCAACCTGCCTGATTATCATAAAATCATCAAAAAGCCTATGGACTTGGGAACAATCAAGAAGCGATTAGAGAATATGTGGTATCAGTATGCTAAGGATTGCATAGAGGACTTTCAAACACTGTTTACAAACTGTTACATGTACAACAAGCCTGGTGAGGATGTGGTGCTTATGGCACAAACTCTAGAGAAGATGTTTTTAACAAAAGTGTCACAGATGCCCCAGGAGGAGGTGTTTCATGATGTGCCCAGTAAAAATGCCAAGGCCAAAAAGGGCCGGCCGGCGGGTGGCGCGGGCGCCGGCCGCGGCCGTCCTCCGGCCAGCGCGGCGGCCACCACCCCCGGGGCGGCGCCGGCGGCCGCGGCCGCGCCGGCCTCCGCCGCGGCGCCGCCAGCAGTGCCCGGCTCCACGGCCGTGCCCACCGTGCCCAGCGCCGTCAAACCGCCCGCCAGCGCCGCGCTCACCAACTCAGTCAAACCGGTGAGTGGTTGGAGCCAGCTGCAGCATATTAATGTCAATGGTTGTGATGGAATAATTGACCCATTTTACCTGTCTGTTTGCTCCATTCTACCATATTCTGATCAGAATTAATGCGTTTCACTTGACTCTCAACTTCTTCTCATCATGCAAATCATTTTCTAATTCTTGGCATAAGTAGAAAAGGTAGAATCACATCAGTTTTGGTCTCTTTTGTCTTGTAGTCTCCTTATTGATGGATCCAAACCAGAATCTCCATATAGCAGCACTTTGAAAAAATTGTTTTGTGAGTTTGTTAGTTATGTCAATCAAACAGCCATTTGTGTTGCCATTATTTGCAGAATATGGAGCCAAGTTACTCCCTTGCTAGTTCATCTGGGACACTTTTTGAGTCCTAGCCCCATTCATTTTTGCTGCGGCTGCTGCTGACGTCCGTGCGGTGTGTTTCAGGTGACGCCGGCCGGCGCCACCGCCCCCTCAGGTCAGCCGGCCGTACCCGGCGCCACGGCTGCCGCTGCGCCCCTCCGGCAGCCCGTGCCGCCGGCCACCGCCGCGCAGCCGCCACCGCCCTCGGCCACCGCCGCCGCCGCCGCCGCCACTGCCATGCCGGATGCCCAGAAAGCCGCACAGCCCGTCCCGCCGCAGACCATGCCGCACAAGGTAGCTACGCCTGTCGCCGGCGAGCGCGCACGCCTGTGGGCCGGGTGGGCTCTGAGTTAGGCGGCGCGGTGCCAGGCTTGTGTGCCGGGGAGGCTGCGGGACTGGTTCCGAATGTAAGTTCACTGGTGCCACTTATCAGCATAACCAATCTGAGGCAGGGTTGGCATTTTTGCCGGCAAAAACTAGTTTATGCCATTTGCCGGTTTAAACCGGTTTTAACCGGCAAAAAGTGGCAAAAACTGGCAAAAACTAAGAAATATCACAATGCTATGCTTGGACATGAATTTGAACATGAAGCATTTTAAGGAGAATTCGGTGAAAGCTTTATGCTTTCAAACAGAAGTGTCATTGACCATTGAAATGCTTCATAACTCAAACATTTGTATGGGCTTTCCATAAGGAGCTAGTAAGATGCCTTTTGGGGTGACAAATGAGCCAGTGCAAGGGTGACTGGGTGAGTCCTGCACAATCAGAAGTGCGAAGGGGCATCTGTCACTGATATGCGCACGGCACCGCATGGCACCTTACTTACCGTGGCTGTCTTGCCCCACTCTCCCCTACATGGAAATACGTTCCGTTGTGGATGTCTACCGACATGCATAGACATTTTAAGCAGGGATAAGTAATGAGGCAGCTTTAGAATGTTTAGTGCATCTATATAACTACCAGAAATGCATTTGTACATTTCAAATCCATTCCTAACTAGAAAAGTTGTAGGTTTGGCCATCTGAGTTTTAGCCAGTTTTTGCCAGTTCTTGCCACCAGGGTTTCTGCCAGCCGGTTTAAACCGGTTAAAACCACTGGCAAAAACCAGTTTTTGCCACCCCCTGCCAACCCTGATCTGAGGTTATGTACAGGTGACAATGCATTTTAGTTTGCTGTTAAATTTGGGCTCTGAGTCGAGCGTTTCTTCAGCTCTATCTTGTTCAGACTTCAGGTGACTTGATAAGACGTGTTTTTTGTTTGTTATTGTCAACCTTCTAAATGATGATATTTCAGCCCATGCGCGTCATCTGAGTCGGTGTACCGTCTGGCCGGTGGCTGTCGTCGGCCGTGTTCTACGGTCGTCGCCCGGTCCGCCGGCCGGTCGGACCCGACAGGGATCATAGCGGAGCTTCTGATCACGGGTGCCCGTGGTTGTTGTCCTTCCCTCGGCTATCCACCGCTGACTGTGTGTGCCATCGGCAGGTGAAAAAGGGCGTCAAACGGAAGGCAGACACGACGACGCCGGCGATGGCTGGCACGCCCGACCCGCCGTTCGCCCCGACGGAGGCCAAGGTCTCCAAACTGGGCAAACGGCGCGAGTCGGGACGCCAGATCAAGAAGGTGGTGAAGGACCTGCCGGACTCTCAGGCGCGCACCGCCGCCGCGGGGAGGAACCGAGAGAAGATGCAGGAGTCGATGAAGGCCTGCAACGAGATCCTCAAGGAGCTCTTCTCAAAGAAACACTCAGTAAGTGGGCTGTTTTATGAGTAAAAGTTGTAGTATTTTGTGCTGGCTTATTTTAAGTAAAACGTCTGTATGCGGCGATCCTAAATTGTGGAAGCGCTGACACTTTCTTAACATCTAACATCTCGATTAATAAGTTTTCTTTGTTAGGACGCTTCGATTATCGATTGGTTGGCTAAGTGGGTAATTAATTGAACCTAAATGTCTAGGAAAATGACTCTAGGAAAATGACTATTACGTACCTTAATTAACACTGTTAGTATTCCTGTTATATTATGCCTCATTAGCATGATGATACTTAAGCCCATGCGCGTCATCTGAGTCGGTGTACCGTCCGGCCGGTGGCTGTCGTCGGCCGTGTTCTACGGTCGTCGCCCGGTCCGCCGGCCGGTCGGACCCGACAGGGATCATAGCGGAGCTTCTGACCGCTTCTTCCCCACAGCTTCAGAGTCCGTCTCTCGCCCGTCCGTAACACCGTCCTTCTCACCCCTTAGGCATACGCGTGGCCGTTCTACAAGCCTGTGGACGCGGACAGCCTGGGCTTGCAGGACTACCACGATATTATTAAACAGCCCATGGACCTGGGCACGGCCAAGACGAAAATGGACAACCGCGAGTACCGTTCGCCGAGCGAGTTCGCTAGTGACGTGCGGCTCATATTCACCAACTGCTACAAGTACAACCCGCCCGACCACGACGTGGTCGCCATGGCCAGAAAACTGCAGGATGTCTTCGAAATGAAGTGAGCGTTCGCTCGCTGGCGCGGTTAATTATGCACTGATTTGAATGCATAGGTAGTTATTTTCAGCCTGTCGATCGATGCAATAACGGGAGCAAGCTATCATATGCGACGTTTAAGTTTGGATTACTTTGAAAACTGCATGCTTGGTTGTATCCAAGTTTCATTTTTATGTTGTTGCTGATAGAACTGGTGAAAGGTTATTTTCCCAGTCCGATGTTCAGCTTGCGTCATCTCCGCCCCGGTGACGTAACGTGCGCTGTGGTTTTGCGCCCTAAGGTTTGCGAAGATTCCCGAGGACGAGGCGTTCCTATCTGACGAGGATCGGTCCAGCTCCGAGTCGGAGTCTGACCACTCTGAGGAGGAGCGGGAACAGAAGCTGCTCGTGCTCCAGAACCAGGTACGGGCCGGAGCCGAGCGGAGCACTGCGCGGCAGTGAGGGGTTTATCCATGCGTGGTTATATTCTGCGTTGCGTTGACCATGACTTTGTGTTGTATTTGATTTAACCATGAGCAAGGAGTGTGCTACGCAATGCGAAATTTCGTACGCGGTTCAATGAACTTCATGCGAAGCAATGTTTTATTGTTGCTTGCGGTAGATTCTAAGACATTTATTAGCACAAATTTTTACCGGTTGAAATGATGATACTTCAGCCCATGCGCGTCATCTGAGTCGGTGTACCGTCCGGCCGGTGGCTGTCGTCGGCCGTGTTCTACGGTCGTCGTCCGGTCCGCCGGCCGGTCGGACCCGACAGGGATCATAGCGGAGCTTCTGACCATTGTCACCCTTACACAGACCGGCTGATTGCTCTGATCCGATGCTAACCGAGCATGCCCTCTCGCTCTCAGCTGCGGGTCGTCCAGGAGCAGATCAACACCCTCCTCCAGGAGAGCCTCTCCAGGAAAAAGAAGGACAAGGACAAAAAGAAGAAGAGCAAGCGCGACCGCCACCACGGCGACGGTCTGTCGGCGCTCAGTCCGCTCGGTAACAGTCTGGCCGGCGGGCCGGGCGCCGCCGGCGCTGGCAAGGCGCTCAAGACCAAGCCGATGAAGGCACCGAGCGGCAACAAGCCGGCGGTGGGCCGGCGGCCGCGCGGCGCCGGCAAGGCTGCCAAGGGCGGCCCCGGCAAGAAGAAGGCCGCGGCCGGTCCGGCGCCCGCCTACGACTCTGAGGAGGACGAGGACAACGCCCGACCCATGTCCTACGACGAGAAGCGGCAGCTCAGTCTCGACATCAACAAACTGCCTGGTGAGATGGAGATGACGCGTGGAGCTTGGTTGGGGTTTACTGGACAGCAGCTAATTCATTCATACTTTATTCGCTTGTTGGTCGCTTACTGATTTATTGAGATGTGCAAAATGTCTGTGCAAATCAAACTGGTGTGCTAAGCTTTATTGATGTTACGTTTCTAATGCAATTTTGTAGTGTTAACTGCGCTTCTTCGGTTATTTTGTTGGTATTATTTAGTGGTTCACACCTATAACTTGCTAGCATGATGATACTTCAGCCCATGCGCGTCATCTGAGTCGGTGTACCGTCCGGCCGGTGGCTGTCGTCGGCCGTGTTCTACGGTCGTCGCCCGGTCCGCCGGCCGGTCGGACCCGGCAGGGATCATAGCGGAGCTTCTGACCATTCTTGAAACGCCTGCTCGTCAGGTTCCGGGTGCGAAGTGTTCGTAACGTGGTTCGCTTCATGCATTCCCAGGTGATAAGCTGGGTCGCGTTGTCCACATTATTCAGTCTCGCGAGCCCTCTCTGCGAGATTCCAACCCGGACGAGATCGAGATCGACTTTGAAACGCTGCGACCCTCCACGCTGCGCGAACTCGAGTCCTACGTGGCCAGTTGTCTGCGCAAAAAGCCCAGAAAACAGTTCGGTGAGTGTCCAGGTTAGCCGTGCGTCTTGTCTTGACTTCCATATCCAACTTACCCAATGCCGTCGTTTGCAGACGCGTACCGCCGTTTCTGATGTAAATACACACGGTTGTTGACATTTGTCCGCCATCCTTTAGATAAGAAGCAGAGCAGCAAGTCGAAGGACGAGCAGATGATGGAGAAGAAGCAGGAGCTGGAGAAGCGGCTGCAGGACGTCACCGGCCAGCTCGGCACCACCTCCAAGAAACCCGTCAAAAAGTGTGAGTAGTCAGCAGCGCTGGAGCTGCCGGCAGGCCGGTCAGCGTCTGACTTCTGCTTTCCGTCACTGGGGTGCAAGCTCCCTCTCGTCAGTCCATATACCAAATGAGTGAAGGAATGGTAGTCCATTCTGTGTGTATCCAACCGTGGCTAGACTCGGCATTGGCATTGGCTATTTGGAGTGAAGTTGGTCCCATGCTCTTGAAAACATTATTTTTAGCCATCATTAGGGGTTACGTTGCGGAAGTACTGCGCAGTTAGGTCTACGGCCATTTGGCTCGCCATTTTTGTTCTTGCTTTAACGGAATATAATTGCAATGGGATGTTTCGTCAATTTACTGTATCGCATATAACTTGTGATTTAGTGTCGTTTGCAACCCAGAATACTTCGTTAAAGTAGTCTTCGGTTTCGTGCTTTAACCCGCGCGGGGCTGGGGGGGTAAATTTTACCCCCCCTCGCGAATTTTTGCGATATTTCAAAAACAGCGGCGCGCAGCGCCGCCAAACTTTCAGTACCTTTTCTTACATAAATTTGACACGTTCCCTGAAAATTTGAGCGAAATCCGTCGGAAAATTTTTGAGAAATTGACGTTTTAGTGACGTCATGTTCGCCATTTTCGCCTCAAAAACGGCAAAAGTTCAAACGCCGCTAACATCTTCATTTTTAAAGGAATCAAGACGTAACATAAAAGGTTATACGTAATTTTACTTTGTCTATCAAATGGCTATCTCGGTTTTTTAAAAATTTTGGATTTTGGCCTAATTTTTTTCTCAAAAAACTGACTTTTTTTGGAAAATCATTATAAAATCCAAAATTTTGAGTCTATCGAAAAAAACGGAATATATGTCAGAGAAGTGGTCTATGTGCACCTACATACCAAATTTTAGAAGAATCGGTTCAAAAATGTGGGAGTTATTCAAAATTTTATGACGTTACGACACACAAATTTTTTGAAAAATGACTTTTTTGGAAGTTCTAGACCTCGTACGGAAACAAAAATAGCACCGTTCGATTCGCCGTGAAAAACTGCATCAGATAGACACCTTTTTAGGCCTTAACAACCAACTTCAAAATTTGACCTCACTTGACCTGACCTTGACCTGACCTCGACCTGAAATTCATCCAGAGGTGGTCCATATCACTTATTGAGTGTGCCTATTGAATTCTATGAGTAAAATGACCCATAAAACATGTGTCGCACATGCCCTTTTCTATATTTTGTTTTTTGGTGACCTGACCTGACCTGACCTGACCTTGACCTTGACCTCTGAATGATATTGTATGCAACGAATATTGTCTTGGTAGCATAAGAACACGTTTTGGGCGATCAGTCTCAGTCCATGACTCCATTCTTCGGCAACTACGGTGCAAGGCCGATACTGTAGAAACTTGCAATTTGTACCCTTGACCTGACCTTGACCTTGACCTCAAACTTTAAATTAAGTACATGTTTTTAGTAGTTCGTGATGAGAGCGTTCGATTGGCGTTTGAATTTTCCAAATCGGACCATTAGTTTGGGAGATTTTAGGGGGGCGCGTTCGGCTGGAGACCCCAGCCCCGCGCGGGTTAAGTAACCTAAAACCGTCGACCTTCCCATGCAGTCAACTAAGGTAACCTGCAATTGATCATCTTAACTCGATAGTTGCTATGCCTCATAAATTCTTGCTGTTGCATGGAGACAGAGCTGAACAGGCAGACAAAAATCGATGCGCGTTTCGTGGTCACGGTAGAAAGTTCCTATACATGTCATACATGTCAATAATTCCTGAGCTGACTGGGTGTGTCCGTCCGTGTGCCTCGCAGCTGACGACTCCAAGGGTGGCGAGGGCGGCGGCACGGCGCGTCTGTCGGCCTCCAGCTCCAGCTCCTCAGACTCGGACAGCAGCTCGAGCAGCTCCAGCAGCTCCAGTTCAGACTCCAGCGACTCCGAGGCCGGCTAGTCGCGGCGCCGCCACAGCAGCACGCGCACTTTTGTACCGGACCAGCCGCCCCGCCAGCGCCCGCCCGTCGCCAGCATGCACGCAGAAATCATGTGTCCAACCTTTGTGGGTCGGCGCGCGGGTGTTTGTTTAACAGTCGCTCAGTGCCGACCCGCAGAACCGTTCAGCAGGTTGTGAATTTTAGGTGGATCTAAGTTTTATGTGACGGTGTGAAGCCATTGAGTGCAGAAATGTTGCGGAGGCGCCAGTCGCGCCGTCCGCGGAGCGTAACTGTGGGATCGTCGCGCCAGACGGAGAGTCCACGACGCGCGCGAGAAGAGGCTGGCGGCCCGGGAGCAGGAATCGTTGGGGCTCGGTAGCCCGTCGAGTGATGGCGCGCTGGCGGGGACGGTGAACTTGTGTGGTGTCTCGGGGCGGGTAACGAGGACCGAGGCGCGGCAGCCGCCGCCGCCGCCGGGCAGATCGCTCACTGACGCTTCGGGCGGCCGCCGGTGGACAAACAACACGTCTGATCTCGCCTTAGGACGGGCCGCGCGGGGCTGCGGACCGGAGAGCCGCCCTCGCCGGCCGCGGACCAGCGGCGTGGGCTCCCCGCGGGACTCGCGGGCGCCCGCGCGGCTCAGCCGTCAGTGTACCGGCGGGGCGCTGTGCGCCTCACAACTGCCCATCGTCCTACGTACACTGGTTTGTCAACATAGGCGTCTATTATTTATCCGATGTGTACAGCGAAAGTTTATAAGTGTTCTCCAGGCCCCCGCGCGTACATCCATTGGCCGGCAGTGATGCGTTTTATATGGTCCCCTCGCCCCTCCCAAGTAGTCATTGATCATTTCGTGTAGACCGCCGTGTTCCCGTCAGTTCTCATTGCTGTCTTCTGAGCGTTGCTTAACTTTTGCGGCTGCTGTTTGAATGTTGCCATATTGTAAGTAGCAATAAGGTCATGCTCGAAAATTCATGTTCATTGTAGCTGCGTGCGGCGTGTGAGCGAGGCAGAATAGATGATCATTTGTCATTCGCGGTTTCCGATATTTCTGCACTCAATGGTTTGCACAGAATACATGCTATGACGTGTAAAACGGTTGTTTTTAAATGGACGTAGAAATGCGTTCGCAGTAGATTAAGTGGCGAGTTAACCAACACACGGCCACTCAAGAATCAGTTGAACGCGGATGAATATAAAGAGAAGAAACTTGAGGAAATTCGCGAATATTAAAATTCTGCTAGACTTCGACGGAGATTTGGCGTAACAGAAGCGGGAGACGAGAGAAGCATTTTACCCTTCGCTTGTGTTTCATATGCAGATGAGCCTACGTAATTGACGGGCAAGTGCATGGTGGGAACGGGAAACCCGATCAGGAAAAAAAAAAACAATAAGTAATAAGTATACAGCTGAGACAGATAAGAAACTGGACATCAACCTAAACCTATGTTTAAAACGAACGTAGGCAGATTTTATTATATTTTCACTGATAAACTCGTTTGTTAAAAGCACATCAAAATTCAGGAGCATGCTAGGCGTTCGACAAAACAAAAACGAACACCGACAAGGAGTAGCTAACTCAACAATGCTCAGATAGCTCTTATCGCACGACGCAGGGGTATAAACAAACTGGGTATACACTGAGGAACTGTAAACCCTATTTTGATTGACCATCTTATCAAATCGGGTCGCAAAGTCCCGCCATTTCCTTGGCATGCGTTTGGCATACGACGGTTCGTTGCCTTCCCGCTCTGACGGCCCAAAGCTCCAGATCATGCCCCTCCCATGGTATACAAAAGAGCGCCCAGGATAGATCACAGTTATGATATTCCTGCACACCACCGACCACCAGCGCCATCTCGGTCCCTATGGTACACCTCTCCACCGGTCGGCCGATCCGCGGCGATCCTCATGGTCTCTGGGGTACATCTCCACCCTCCGGCGGCCCGGTCCCTCCCGACTCGGCGCGCCGCTCGAACCTCAGCACGGACAGGTGCTCCGGTCCGGCCCGCCGGCTCATCACCCGAAACATGTCGAAGCCGAGTCCGGCCATCACCGCGCCCAAGTCGTCCACGTCGTTCTCCCGGATGGCCACCAGGTAGAACAGTCCGTCCGGGGCGAGCAGGTCGGGCAGTTGCGGCAGCAGGCGGTCGGTCACCTCCCTGCCGCGCTCTCCGCCGGCCCAGCTGGCCGCCAGGCCGCCGCTGGCGCACACCTCTTCCGTGCTGGTCACCACGTACGGCGGGTTGAACAGCACCACGTCGAGCTGGCCGGCCAGGCGCGGCCGCAGCGCCGCCGTCAGGTCACAGCGCACGGGGAGCACGGTGACGCCGTTCCTGTGCGCCGTGCGCCACGTGGCGCGGCACGCGGCCTCGCTCAGGTCAGTAGCCAGACAGAGACACTCGGGCAGCGCGGCCGCCAGCGCCGTTATCACCACACCGGAGCCGCTGCCGACCTCAAGCGCCAGGCGCGGCCGGCGCGCGCGCAGCCGCTCCAGGTCCGCCTCGAGGGCGTCCAGCAGCAGGAACGAGTCCTCGGCCGGCTCGTAGACGCGGTCGTAGTCGGCCGCCGTCAGGTGGGAGATGTCGGGCGTCTGCATGGCGCGCTACTGAGGGGCGGCCGCGGGGTCAGCAGCGGGGGCGGCGGCGGCCGCCGGCGGGTGCGCCGCACGCTGTCGGGCCAGGTGACTCCTGATCCTGGTCAAGCGCTCCTGCAGTGAATGGTCGACAGCCGTAAGTCCATTGTCAAATGAGAAAATGAGCGAACTGTGAGTCTTCAAATAAACGAGCAGCAGTGTATGATCTAAGGGTTAATTGAATAAACAAATGGAATTGACGAATGAATGAATGAAATATATATTAATGAATGAATGAACGAACGAACGAACGAACGAACGAACGAATGAATGAATGATTGAACGAATGAATTAATGAATCAATGAATGAATGAGCGTGCAGCTGACTGCACTAGCTGTGGCGGCGATGTGACCTGAGAGCCATCCGCAGCCGCCGAGTCTCCGGCCGCCAGCCGTTACCTGCACGGTCTGCAGCGTATTGTTGGTGACGGCCACGCGTCTCTTCACGCTGTGCAGCCGCTTCACGTGCTCCTCAATGTCAACCGGCGACGGTGCTACGGCCGACAACCGGGCAAAGTCCTCGGCGATCGCCTCGAGCAGGGCACTCAGCGTCTCCTGGCTCTCTCTGTAATGGGGGAGGGAAGGGTTAGTCAAACCTTCTTGATCTGGTTCTACCTGTAATGATGACGGTACTTACTTAGCATTACTCCTAACATTTAAGGCAATGGTGGCACTGGCATTAAAGACAATAGTGACAACTGACAAGGCATTAGCGACAGGGTGGCCATTCAGTGGCCACTGGCCAGTATCAGCTACCTGTAACTGTGCTGGTAGCTGAAATGGTTGGTGGGTAAGTACCTCAAAGCTCTACCTGGAACATTCGAAGAAATGACAAGTGGGTGTGAGGAAACCAAAGAAGGCAATAGGAAGCCAGCTGCTGGCTCATTCCAAATGACTGCATGGTTATTGCTTTAACAAAGTTATGGAGCTTGGTTATCAAACCCTAGTGCCTGGTCAATAAGGGCCATTTCCTTCTAAAAGTGCTAAGATATGTGATTAAGCTTGTACCCAAGGCAGGTAAAGTCAGTGGTTGCAAGAGCAGCATACAGTTGAACTTTCTGGGGTTGAACTTCATTACTAATGAATAAATATTTATGTGCATGTAAGATACAGCTTTTCAAACTGAAATGGACTCTCATTGCTTGCTGGGATGATAATATAATTCCTCACATCAATGAAAGTTGAAAAATTTGCATGCAAGTGATTAGAGCATGTTTTTTGATGCCATGCATTTTTAAGGATAAAATGGATTATTATTGAAACAAACAAATTAAAGGGAATAACAATTTTAACTTGTGACTCACTGTGTTTCCTTGACTCCAAGATCAATGCGATCGATGACAGGTTTTACAGAGTTCAGAAATCCTTCTGAGAGTGCATCACTTGTTGGATTGTCACCAAAGTCTCTGTCTTCAACTGAAGTATTTGTGCTGGCTGTGTCATCCATGACTTTTTGAACTCAGTCATTAGATATATGAGCTGCTGGCCTGCTTATCACAACTCACAAGGAGGACTGAAATAAAATGGTCTGTTATGCAACAAGTTAAAACAACCCATCTTAGGTGTCTCTCGGACGACGAAGATTCTACATTGTCCAGCCCACCACAGTGTATATAAATATATAAATAATCCAGCCAATCCCGTCCCAGGTCAGCGGGGCTTGGCTGCGGTTATGGAATGGGTTGGCCGCAAGATGTAGAATCTGCGTCGTCTGAGACACTCCAAATGCGGGGAATGTTTCACACTTCAACCTACAGGCTACATGGCCTGTTGCTGTTGACACAGCCATTCTTCACTGGTCAGATGATACTTGTGTCAGGGCAAATATGTCCCAAAATTCATGAAGCTGAGCAATAAATTATCTACATCATTTTGCTATATGGGTGGGCTTACACATAAAGCACTGTGCTGACCTACTCACCTGTTCAACTCACCTGTTTGGGGTTCCCTTGGTCTGAGAGTAGCCAAAATGAATGCAGGGATGGGGAGAAGGGAAGGAACCCGCATAGAAAGAGCTCGCCCGATGGATGAGAACACATCCAAACGGGAAAGTGAGCCCACAAGTGCCAAATGAATGAGTTTACAAGAGTGACAAGATACAAACAGCAACATTATAATCGGAACACAGTTAACGGTCATGGGACACAATTCATTTAGATACGCACTAGAGACTAGTATACAAACAGGGTATCACCCAGTGTCGCAGATAACATGGATTTGAACCTGGTTAAATCTGGTTCAGACACTACTTCGTCCGGTAGAGAGTTCCATGGAGTGATACAGCGGACACTAAATGATCTGGCACGTAAATCTGTTTGGGGACGGACGTGTGGCAACTTAAAGCGGTGGCCTCGGGTTCCAGAGGATGGCGAGAGCACGAATATATCCGAAGGTTTGATTGAACATTTATCATGGAAGAGTTTCCAGCATTGTATCATGTCAGCTCGGAGGAGCCTGCCCTTGGCCGAAAATTGGTTCAGGGCCTTAAGTCGAGAGTAGTAATCTAGGTTGCCGAGACCATGGACGCGCTTCGTCCAACGCCGCTGGACTGACTCGAGGAGCCTTAAGTCACCCACGTATCCGGTGTGCCACACGCAAGAACAGTACTCGATCAAAGGCCTTACGTGCGTGCTGAAGAGTGTCATCATAAAGTCCGGGGACCTGCAAACAGTAGATTTAAGCAGGTTCTGAGTTAGACCCGCGGCTTTTGAAACCGTTGCTGTAATATGATTGTGAAACTTCAAGTCTGAATCAACTACAACGCCAAGGTCGGTGTGGGAGTGGACAACCTGGATTGGGGCATTGGAGATGTGATAACATGGAGGGGGGAGAGCGTGGAATTTCCTGTGAAAACGAAGGACAACACACTTTTTAACATTCAGAGAAAGGCACCAAGACTCAGCAGTGCTCTGCAGCATATCAATGTCACGCTGGCACATCTGTGAATCGAGGTCATAGCTGGCATGCGGGATATGACGAATTTTCATGTACATCTTCAGGTCATCTGCAAAAACCTTGTAACGGCATGACAGGTTGCTAGCAACGTGGTTTACAAATAGCAGAAATAGGATGGGTCCCAGAACAGAGCCCTGGGGGACACCACTGGTGACACAGTGAGGGCTGCTCAGCTTTGTCTTCACCTGTACGGCCATTTGTCGGTCAACTAGGAAGTCCTCGATCCATCGGACCAGGCTGTCCTGGATACCAAGGAGACGAAGTTTTGTTAGGAGGATTTGGTGAGAAACGACATCAAACGCTTTGGCGAAGTCGAACATCACGACATCAACGACACTTCCACTGTCTACATGCAGAGACACCTCATTGTACACCAGGAGCAGTTGATCCATGGTAGACCTGCCTGCTCGAAATCCGAACTGGTGGTCAGTCAGGATGCCGTTGTCTTCCATGTAAGCTGAGAGATGACGAACAATGATTCTCTCTAAGCATTTACACGTCACAGAAGTGAGGCTGATCGGTCTGTAGTTGAGTGCGTCGTACCTTGAACCTTTCTTATAAATCGGGACAACTCTCGATGACTTCCACAGAGTTGGGAGTTTGCCTTCTCCGAGGGACCTTTGGAATAGCAGGTAGAGTGGGTAGGCAAGCCCAGTGGCACAGTTCCTGAGAAGCATGGGGTGAAGATCGTCTGAGCCTGCTGCTGAGTTGATGTCCAAGGCCTGTAGCACAAGGCCTAACGTGTTTATGCACCCACTTGGGATGATGATACGATCGTTCAAGTCACAGCAGTAGAAAACAAACCTAGAACAAGAACGAGCAAGAACCTAGATCATAGGCAAGAGCCTAGAAAAAGAACGTGAGACCGGCGAAATCGGTGAAACCAATAAAACCAAAACAATAAACCCACGGTGACTGTTGGATTTATCGATAAGACAATTGCGGCATTTAGATGTGTTCTTAAACAGAATCTATCCCTGTCGATGGAAAGGGCTAACCCGTGAAAGGATAAGCGCGTGAAGAACCGCTAGCAGAAAACGGTCATCAGCTATTCACTTTGAACACAAATTACCGAATTCAATGGTTTCTTTTGCAATTGCGATCGCAAATAACATATATCGATTGCGTTCGAGAGAATTTTCAGGGTACATACCTGAACTTATACGGCCTTGCATACCTGTCACAAAGACAGTATACCTGTCACCATCTTTTTATAGGTTTTATATACACTCGTGTAAATTTAGAAATCACGGGTTAGAACTCAAAGGCTAACTGTCCTCAACCATCAGGCATACTGGAAATACAATGTTGATGTCGGTCAATTGTACCCTGATGTGGGTCTACCTATTTCAATTTCATTTCAATTTGCGCCTGAGCCAGAGCTGAGCTTCACCGTCACTGAACTGTAGGAAGGTGCCTGCCTATGGAGTTACAAAGTTACAAGCTGCTACCTACCTCAAGTAACAGAGGAGAATGACTAACGTACAAAGATATCATCAGGGTGATGGTTTGATTGAACATTTACTATGAGAGTTAGGCACCTGCCAGATTGGAAAAATACACGTTATGCCAAATACGTCCAGTATGGTGGCTTGATTGTGTTGAAAATTTCAGCTCACGTTAGGTCAGGTGTAACTTCGCATGTGCCTAATTCAGAGCTGAGAGCATGAGCCATGAGACAGCAAATTTTTTGGAGCAGGGCTCTGGCGGTCACATAGTTTTTTTGTTGTATGGCGGTCGCTGAATTTGTCGGTATGCCGGGCAATCTAGCAGCAGATTTGCCCTGTGGTCAGCTCTAGAGAGGGTTTGGGACGAGACCTACCCCACCCCGGTCGTTAGGTGCTCAGAGTCGTGGACTCGTGACTCGTGGTCGTGAGCCGCCCTGAGTCAAACTCAGAAGAGGAACAGCTGCCCAAGTGACACCTTTAGTGCGGAGATAGGTATGGAAGACCTAATTGACATTGCCGAGCATCATGAAGTGATCCTGCAGTGGGTTCCTGCCTACTGCGGGATCGAGATTCGAGGGGAGTGAAAACATGGACAACCTGGCGAAACAAGCGGCCGCCCTGCCCTCGGACGCCCGCTCACTGACCCGGGCGGTTCATTGTGTGGCTTGCGTCAGTGTCCCGGCAACTGGTCCGAGTCACTACACATTACACCAGCCGCTCTGCGGGAGCAATCTACCGTTCCCCATCCCCGGAGATCAGGGCCATGAAGTTTTCAGGCTAAAAGTGTTAAACTCGAGGGTACTGAAAATTGCGTCGCGATCGGTCGCGTCAATGTCTGCCTGGCCTGGCACGTTTTGCGCTTCATTGTTATCTCTGTTTTAGGACCTTACGCCACTGCTGAGCCGCGGAAGGCTTCACCATGAACAGCGTGGCGCCTGCCCGGCCGTCGGGGAGTACCGGACGGTCGTGGGTGCCCCAGTGTCTGGTCTGTGACCGCGCGCTGGCCGAGTCGGAGCTGGCCACCTCCCAGGACGTGCACGCGGCCTGTCCGGCTCAGCCAGACGTCTCGTTCCTGGAGAAGGTGCGCTCCGCCGCGCCGGTGGACGGCTGGCCAGACGGCAGCGCGCCCGGCGACCTCGTCTGTCCCCGCTGCGCCGCCTTCGTCAACGACATCGTCATCTACGAGAACAGGCTGGCCGACATGACCAAGCAGCTGGTGGAGATGGTGACGAACACCACCCAAAGGCGGACCACCTCTTCCAAGGCACTGAGATCATCTGCTTCATCTGCTTCTGGTGAATATGCACTGAAGTGTATTTGAGCTTTCTGGTTACAGTAGTAGGTATTAAGCAGATGTTATGTAGCCGTTAATGCCTGGTCACAAAGCTGAGATATTTTTGTTGTTCCTTGCCATTGGTGTGTTGCTTTGGTTGGAATTCGCTGTTCAACCTGCTGGCTTCCATCTGATTCAAGGAGTATATTGTTCAAACAGCTTGAAGATAGAAAACCATCCAGAAAATATGTAAATTTCAGGTACAGTCTTTCTCATGTTGTAGATGAAATATTGTGCTTAGTGTGCCATGAATTTATTGTTTGTGTTTTTCGTTGATTTGCTGTATTTGTGCTGAGCACACATCTAATGCATGTCATGTTTGCATTACTTCAGAGAAACCGAGAACTCGGCGACCGAGAAAAGCAACGCCCAAAAAGAGCAAGCCGGCTGACTCGGACACCGCTTTACACGAGACAACGGTGAGTGTCACGAAACAGCCCAGCCTTCCGCTGATCGTGCTTTCGATTCATGAGGAATGTATGGTTTGTTTTAACGAATATCTCGCATCCAACCTATTACAGACAACATCCCAGCAAGAACTGCTTAATTTTACCGCTCACACACACAAGCGTTGCTATGCTTGAATGCATCACATCGATCTTTCATGTGAAGTGTGCTGCATTCCTGCACAGGATGTCTCGGAGACGGACCAACAGCCGGAGGTCCTGGCGGACCCGCTGGCCGATCTGGGGGACTCGGATGACGCCGATGACCCCACGGTGAGGACAGGACACTGAAGAGTCCTCTATGTCTAAGGCACTAGAAAGGCTGTGCGGATACGGCTGTCGGGCTGCGGGCATACCGGGTGGTACGATCAGACGTATGGCGCACTGCAATTCACTCCACTCATTGTACGCTGCAATACGATCGTAATGTCAGAGCATTCGAGTTGCTTGACGTCTACTGGGAAGATGCGGTTCGTAGGTTTTAATTATTCAGGTGCTTTATTTTACCACAATATTTATCTTACAACTAACATTGCCCCCATTTTCTTCTTCTAGGAACCCGCGGTCAACGTCGAGTCTGGTAAGTGTTCATCTCTGCTAAATGCTGCTAAGTAGTTGTGTCGACTTTATTTGTGTTAATCTTAGTCGTTGACTTTAATTACTGTGTCTTTTGTCTTTTGGGAACGATGGTGGCCGACCATTTTTTGCCGTGGCCGACTATGTTGGCACAATAAAAAGGAAGAATTTCCAGATCGGACGGTACAGGCCAGGGCCTACGCAACGAGCATTGTTTTGCGTGGGCTCTGGCCTCGGTAACATGCCACTTGGACACATTCGAGTTTTGGAAGGAGCAGACGTGGAGAATAGGTAAAGTGATTGGATGATGAGTAAACAACTCAACTGCTATAAGTTTTGCTTGCTTATCACGAATGAAAAACCACGGGCTGCTGAGTTTCCTCAGTATGAATCAGACCCAAAGCTAGCATTATGCATGTTTTGCACGGTCTTTTCTTTGACGCTCTAACGAGCATATTCAGTGTTACTGATAAATCTGCTCCCACCCTGCACCAGCTCAATGATAAGCAAAACTATGTCTTATCTTGGCTACGCCTGTCGCAATTAAGTTTCTGTATCGTAGCTATAATTAATGCACATCTATAACAACAGCAGGCTCGCTGTCTGCCTTGTCTTGGCGATCCTGATAAATCTGCAATCATGTTTCGTCACTATCATGGATATAACTTGCGTGTCTGCTGATAGATGTCACTAGTGGTAAACGCCTGGAGCCATACCATTGGCCATACTGTTCCGCATAGCACGATTGCCGACTGATTATTTCCCATCGGTTACTACAATCAGTTTCCGCAAAAGATTTTCATAGATCAAAGTATCGTAATATGAGCTCCTAATATGTACTCCTTAAGCATCAGCATCATTCGTGACGTCTCGCTCGCATAAATTACATCGTTGATAATGTTCTTACGCTGCTACGAATGCCATGAAGTTGTGGGACTTTTGGTTTTCTTTCAGAAAGCTTTTGTTTCTTAAAGTAAACGATGACTAAATATGCAACTTACAAGAGAACAATGTATTCTTGCAATCATTCCTTTGACGACATCACTAGTCGCATTTCTTCGGTAATTATTATCGCATATTCACCCCGTCAAATCCGCGGTCGCTCCTCCACACGGGATTCCGTACTCGATCGCCCAGCTAATCTGTGCGCCTCAACCAAGCCTATCAAGTGCCTTCGACGGTCACAAGTCTCTTTATCCGCCTCCCATCCATTTCTGCCGCCGTGGTTATGTCTGCGTCAGTCCTGGCCTGTCCCAACCCCTCCGAGGAGCCGGCCCCTCTCGGGCCGTCTGCGGCGTGCTGGCAGCTCGTTCCACTCTCCGGGCTCGGTCTCTCATGGGCCGTCCGAGCTGTGTCGGACCTGTCCTGCTCCCTCGGGATCCCCCTTCCCCTGGTCGTCGGTGCCACGTCTGTGGTCTGTCCCCATCCCTCCGGGGCCGGTCCTCCTCTATCGAGCCTACGGTGGCGCGTTGCTGGCGCGGCTGTGCCCTGAGTGGTGCTCGCTGCGGTTCAGGTGGCAGTCCGGCTTCGTCCAGTGACAGCGGCTCGCCCCAGGAGGACGAGGTGACAGACGATCCGAACTACTCCGACACTGAACAGGTGAGGAATCAGCGAGTGACACTGTTTTGGTTTACGCTTTGTGAATATTTTCAGGGTAAAAACCATGTTTGTTAAGCTTTGACTGTGCTTATCTGACTCATGTAACGTGCTGTGAGTCAGTTACTATTGGTGATAAAGGGTTTGATAAGTTTGCAGCCAAGACTATTTTATACCTATGTGGCTTTTGACATGTCTCACGGTGCAAATTGCATTCTAAAGATCATTAGCAAACTTAGTGTAACTGACTCACTTGTCTTACCATTCCATGGAATTTTTGTATTTGACTGAAATATCGTCTCCTCTGCATTGCGTTTGTTGTTTATTCCAGGTCGGATCGTCAGCCTCGCAACGGCGGAGAAAGAACCGCTCGTCTATGCCGCCTCCGCCCGCCCGGGCCAGGCGGGGCTCGCTGTCCCCTCTGATAGAGGTGGTCCCCGGCCCGCGGCCGTACGCCTGCCGGGTGTGTGACAAACGGTACGCCGACAAGCGCTCCATCTATACCCACCTGAAGCTCCACCAGGGTATCCGGCCGCACCAATGCACGGTGTGCGAGCGCTCGTTCGTGCGCCGCTCCGACCTGGTCACGCACGCCGCTATACACTCGGACGAGCGGCCGTTCAAGTGCGACACCTGTCCAGCTGCCTTCCGACAGCACAGCGCACTGATCGGACACCGCAAGATCCACACGGGCGAGAAGAGCAACAGCTGCGAGCAGTGCGGCAAGGCGTTCCGCGCCACACATGAGCTGCGGCGACACATTGAGACGCACGCTGGCGTCAAGACCCACTGCTGTGACGTGTGTGGTGGCATGTTCGCCACGGCCAAGGTGCTGGTGCGACACAAGATGATTCACAGCGGAGAGAAGCCGCACGTCTGCGCCGTGTGCAACCAGGCGTTCCGCATGCCGTCGGCTCTGCGGGACCACATGCGCGTTCACACGGGTGAGAAACCGTTCGTGTGCGAAGTGTGCGGGAAACGGTTCGCCCGGTCGCAGATCCTGGCGTCCCATCGGCGGACTCACACCGGCGAGCGGCCGTACCGGTGCCCTCGCTGCGATAGGGGCTTCTCGCAGTGCACACCGCTGAAGAAACACATACAGAGCATGGTGTGTAGCGCGCGCGCCGACGCTCCAGACGCGCCGCCGCCACCGCCGGTGCCAGTGGTGCCCTCTGCGGAGCTGGTCCAGTGTCCGGCGTGCTTACAGTGCTTTCCGGGCGCGGAGGTCCTGAAGGCGCACTGGCGCGATTCACACGGGCCGGACGGGTCGTTTGTGGGCGCCCAGGGTCTGTGGATGACTGCGCCGGCAGGACCGGTACAGTGAGGTTAGGCCGTGCTGCAGCGACGACAGGGTCTCATAAAGTCAGGGAACTGCAGCAGCCTGTCGGGAAAGCAGACACTACCTGAGCCTATGAGCTTATGACTTATGTTAAGGTTTTGATTTTTCGCTCTGCACTGCCAACAGCAGTTGTTTACGGCATCCGTTTCTTGCTTCAGTCATTTGTTTTCTCGCCGTCTTCTCTTTATTGTTCTTGTCGGTCGAGATGACAAATTCATGTTTTATTAATTCATGCTGTTCATAATTGTCATGTGTTCGATGATTACTCGTTATTTTTGTAACGCACTTGAATTCAAATAAACATTTAGTTTTGTATTTCATTCTTTGTGTGCGAGGGTGTTGCGAGATCGATTTTTCTATATATGCGTTCAGTGATGGACAAGAAATGTAGTTAATACAACGAGACGTTTAGTAAGCACGACATTGCACGACACGATGACGAAAACAGATCAGTATTAAACGACGTGCAGCATACACGTCATCGAACAAGTTAGCGATCATTCGACAATTCTTCGTGCTTCAAGGCAGCGGCTGTTTTTTTTTTATTTTAGAATAAAAATGTTGCTGAGCATGACTGCCCCAACTTTTTTCGAATTTCGTGCCTTCTAGGCCCGAAATTCCAGAGTCTTGCCGAATCGATAGGTATTCAGTTATTCACTTTTACGCTAATGAGTTGTGATAAACGTCGAAAGAAGTTTTGACGAGCTGATGACTAAATGCTTCTTGTCGGCATAGATCGTTAGGTGTGAAATTGAGTTTACATGGCTGTCAAATGGATTTAACGCCACACCATTGGTCATGATGTGATTGATGTGCCTGTATTCTGATAACTACAGAGGACGAATGAGAATGTCTTTCTCGGTTCGTACTGCTTTGCGTCACTGCCTTGAGCGTCGCTTTGGGTCGTCTTTAACTATTTTATACGAGAAGCAGTGAACATTGAATTAGCACAAAGTCAAGCTGAATTATTATGCCCTAATACCGACCGCAGTCTGACCGTATGATAATACCTATCCAACGATAAAAAATGCCCAGCCCAAAAGGACCACCACAGTCGACGGCAGTGCAGAGTGAGATTTAGACTCCATTATCGTCAGCATTTGTTTTATTCTGGTCCGGTCTACTTGTTTATTTCAGGGGAAATGAGTGGACCGCAGGCATCAGATGCTCCAACATCTGCTCAGGTGAGATACCTACTGATGCCATCTAAGTCATGTTTATTGCTTTTTACTTGTTGGTATTGATGAGCGTTTCTTTGTGTGTCAGCTGTGCGAGATTTATATTTACATCATTCTTGCGCTGATCAAGTAAAATTATATCATTTTTTAATCATTTATCAGCAGAATCTTCCATGTACGAGTATATGGTTTTGTGCATTTCAGAAGGACTGTACGTGGCTGGTGACGACAGAGCCCCCCAGGCGGCGGGGCCGCGGCGGTCGGTCCGCGCCCCGCTCGTCCCAGCCTCAGACCTGTCCGTACTGCCAGAAGCAGCTATCCAGCTCGAGCTCGCTGCAGAAACACGTGCAGCTGCACACCAACGAGCGCCGGTTCCGGTGCACCACGTGCGACCGGGCGTTCATGGACCGGCGTGCCCTCAGCCGCCACGAGGTGGACCACACGGGCGTGCGGCCGTTCTGCTGCTCCGTCTGCGGCAAAACGCTGCTCTCCAGCCACGCGCTACGCATCCATCAGCGTAGCCACCTCGGCATTAAACCCGCAGAGTGTCACGTGTGCCAGAAAAAGATGTCCTCTGCTCAGATGCTGCGCGAACACCTACGTATCCACACGGGCGAGCGGCCGTTCAGCTGTGAGATATGCGGCCGCACGTTCCGCACCGAGCGCATCCTGTCCTCCCACCGGAGGACGCACACGGGCGACCGGCCGCACGTGTGTGACGTGTGCGGTCGCGCGTTCAGCCAACGCACGCCACTGACGGCTCACCTGCGCAGCCACACTGCCGAGCAGCTGGCGGCCGTGCGTCGGGAGAGGATCGGCCGCACCGCCGTTCGCACCGCGCAGGGCATCTTCGACATCAGGGACGGCAGCTCGATGCGTCAGCTGGTCACGGTCGGACAGGCTACCGAGCGGGAGGGCGCACCTCAGGGGATGGGAGGTGCGCCGGCTGTGCCCCCAGCGCCGTCAGCGGCGGTTCAGACCGGTGTCAGCGGGCCGAGCGAGACGTGTCTGACGCTGACCTCTCTGGTCCCCGTCTGTGAGTTCGGGTCCGGCGGTGTCGAGGGTACTGCTGGGATTGTCGTACCTCTGCTGGAGCAGACACCAGCTTCGACGCTGGTCGTCACAGAAACTTTGTGAGCTGCATGATTTTGACGGTCGGTCTAAGGTGTACCTACCGCCGCGTCCTTTTTTATGGTTTAGCTGTCAGGTTTCTAATCCGTGCATGTTTGCATGCGGGTAACTTATGTGAGATTTAGGCGGGTGAATTAACCTACATGCATGTTTTAGTATCACAGTATTGATCTTTTACATATATATCTTGAATGATATGCAAATGAAATTCAAGTACACATTTTCCAAGTTCTACTTTATATTCTAAATCATCCGCAGTTTCCCGTTCTCGTCACACTCATTTAATTAACACTTGTGCACACGCGATTTTGTTATGCATGTTCTCCCGACATGCTGATTGTTAATAACAACCACGAAAGAGTTGGTGAGGATCCTTCATGCCCTCCCCCCAACGCGACCACAGACATGGGTATGTGGTCGAAAATGTCACCATCTGAATGATGAGGAGCAGGCAGATATCTCTGTGTATGACTGCCCACGTGGAGTCATGGACAGGCGCCTAGTAGGGACTCGCGTCCGTGTGCTCCGGCGTGGCGGATCTTGCTGAACTGCCGAAGGTGCTTGTAGCTGGACAAGCGGCTGCCCTGGATCAGTGCTGGCTGGTGGGATGACTGATGGTGGGGCTAAGGAGGCAGCCCGAGGCGCACGGGCAGTCGCCTTTGCTGTTGATGCTGGAATCGGCCTATGGATGGTGGCGGGCTGCAATGGCGCCGGGGCCGGCGGCGACGCAGCACTGAAGACCGGCGGGACGGGGGCTCCGGACGGTCCATTGGGGCGCAGGAGCGGGCGATCTCGTTGGTAGACCGTGGTGTGGTTCATTGGTTGATGATTGGCAGGGTTCAGAGACTGTATCTTCCTGAGGAAGCGGCGGTTTCGCAGGGTGAGCCGGCCACTGCCATGCATCTTGACGCTGTATTGACGGTTACCCAGTGTTTCTACGACCATACCGGTGCGGTCCCAGCGAGTCGGCTGAGATCCTTGCTGGTTCTGTACTTGTACTATGTCCCCAACGCCAAGTGGCTCAAGGCAGCGTTTGTCGATGTTCTTTCCGTGCAGCTGAGCGTACCCACGTTCCCGGAGCTCCCTCAATTTCCCCCATTCGGGACGAACAAAGTGCGGCGTCGGGAGTCCATCACGTAGCTGCCGTCCGAAGAGGATCTGTGCTGGTGACTCGCGCGTACCGTCGCGCCCAGGTGTGTTACGGAACTGAAGAAGCGCTCGTGTCACTTGATCCGTGTTGAGCTGGCCGCACCTGCTCGTGTTGTCTTGTAGAAGCCGTTTCGCTGCTTTGACAGCGACTTCGGCACGGCCATTGCTCTGGGGGTAATGCGCAGAGGAGAGCCTGTGCTTGATGCCCCACTGTTGGAGGAATTGTTTGAATTCCTCGCTGTTAAATGGCGGTCCACCGTCAGACTCAATGGTGGCGGGTACGCCCCAGTGCGCAAAATACTTGCGTAGCTCGGAGACCAGGGTCGAGATCTTGCCATCTGACATTTGACTGATGTTCAACCATCCTGAATAGCGGTCCACGTACACCAGGTAGAAGTAGCCTGCCAGCTGGAAGTAGTCTGTGCAGACTATCTCGAAGGGAAAATCGGGGCACGGCGGTTCCAGCGCTGGTTCGCTTGGCTGTGACGGGGCCATCCTTTGGCATGTTTTACACTGTGCTCGCTTCTGTGTTATTGCTGCATCCATCCCAGGCCAGAAAAATCGGTTCCGAGCGCTGTTTTTCATGCCCACTTCGCCCTGATGAGCTGAGTGAAGACATTCCAGTAATTCCACTCGAAGTGACTGTGGAATGTACATTTTCTGGCCGTGGAATGGGACGCCTTCGAGCTCATGCAGGTCGTGTCTCATCGGCCAGAAGACTTTGAGGTGGTCCGGGACGTCGGAACGCGTCTCGGGGAAGCCGCGGCAGATCATTGCCGCTAGGTCGATGCTGGTGGCGTCTACCATGCACTCCTCCTTCACCAGCTCCCAAGTGATCGCTCGAAATCCGTCCGAGCCGGCCGAGGAGGCTGCCAGCTCAGCAACGGCCACCATGGCTTCATGGATGCTTCGTGCGTGTTCAGTATCTGTGTGGGCCGGCTCAGCTCTCATGACTGCAAAGCCGCTCAGCGAGTCGTTCAGCTGTGTGGGCGTGGCTGCACTGCTGGAGGCTGGATATCTGGAAGCAGCATCTGGACCCACATGCTCTTTCCCCGGGACGTGCTTGATTGTGAAGCGGTACATGAGCGTTTTCTCCTTCAAGCTGAACAGCCGTGGGTTTTTTATGTTCTCCAGCGACTGGTCTGAGAATAGTTTTACCAGTGGCTTATGATCAACTGCTACGGTGAGATTCGGACATCCCAGTACAAACATGCGACACTGCTGAAGTCCGTAGACGAGAGCGAGAGCCTCTCCCTCCACTGGGGCATACCGAGACTCGGCATCTGTGGTGAAGCGACTCCCGGCGAATACGAGTTTCCAGTGATCTGGCCCACAGTATGGTGCCTTTTCCATGCCACACTGGCAGTGTTTTTGCTGGAGGATGAAGCCGAGTCCATGTCTGCTCCAGTCTGTTGAGAGGCAGGTTGGCCGATCAGTCTCAAATGCTCGCACACCTTCAGCCACGCGCTTGGCAATGGTATCTTTGGATTGCTGGAACAGTCGGTCAAGAGTCTCGTCCCAGTAAAACTTGCTGTTGCCTTTAGTTTTGAGCAGTTCTCTGAAGGGTGACATGACCTCAGACTGGGCAAACGCGTAGGAGACTTGGTTAACCAGCCCGAACCAGCTTCTGACTCCTGTGAGGTTGGATGGCGTCGGAAAGTTACGGATGGCGTCGAGAAGCCGTCCCGTTGGTTTGTACCCGTCAGCAGTGACTGTGAAACCAGCGAAGTCAACGGTGTCCGCCCCGAAAGAGAATTTAGAAGGGTTGAACACGACGCCGTGTTCCCCACAGAGCGTGATGTAGTGCACGGTGTGCCAAAAGGCCTCCTCCAGTGATCCGTCCCAGAGCAAAGAGTCGTCGACACACCTTCTAAGACGCTCCGTCCCTGCAGTGATGTCATCCATGCGGCGTGTATAGCCGTCACCGGAGGCGTGAAATCCCTGAGGTGCGCGCTTGTAGCGATACCTTCCCCACTCAGTTATGAAGGTTGTCGCTTCTCTCGCGTTCTCGGCCAGTGATAGGCTATGGTAGCCATTCCATGCGTCCAGGGTAGTCTTCTTTGTCCCGGGTGGCACGCTAGCGACGAGATTGAAGGGACTGGGCGTATGGTGAGTCTCTCGGAGGGTGGCCTCGTTCACCCGCTGGAGGTCTACTGTCCGACGAGGAGAGCCATCCTTTTTCGCTGCGACCACCATCCTCGAACACCAGCGTGTCGGGGTTCCCTGTGGCACCGGCTCAATTATGCCAAGACGTACGTCTTGGTCCAGACCGGCCTTTACCTGTCTTTTCCAGTGGTGGGGGACTGGAATGGGCGTATGAACAGCCGTCGGTGTTGCATCGGCCTTGAACTGGATATCTAGTGGTGTGCCCGTCATCTCCTGGAGTGGCTGGTGCTCGCAGGTATTGAATGCGCTGCTGGCAAAATGGTCTCTGATCCAGTGCTCTAACTTCTCCCTGTTTTCCTCGACGGCTGGAAGCGGCATCTTCTCCGGGATCGCGGGCACTGGTGACCTCTTCAGACACCCACAGGGCGCTGTGTGGGTCTGTGCTTTGTTGACCTCATCTGGGTCTGTGCGCTGGGACGTAACCTTAGATCCGTCCGGTCCGTTTTCGGGCAAAGGGAAGTGTTCCGGCACGACTCCCAGGTCTCTGAGGGCCCTTTCAGATAAATAGAGGCCGTGCGTGTTGCGCGAGATGTACACTACTTGTCTAGTGACTCGTCCTTTGGCCTCAATCCTCAGCAGAAGTGAGCCTATCACCTCCAATCGTGTGCCCGTTACGCCAATGATGCGGTGTGAGGTCTTCAGGAGAAGGTGTTCCGGACAGCGCAGGAGTTTCAAAATCTCCATCCCCCCAGAGCAGGTCATGGCTCCAGTGTCAGCGCACGCTGTGGCGCGCACGCCGTGGTCGACTTTACTGCGCTCGATCCCTGTGAGACGCTTCCCGAATCTGGAATGGGCTTCCTGCATGATGGTGAGCGTGACTGGAAGTTCTGGATGGCGTTTTGGCTGGCAAGTCGTGAACTGACCATCTTTCCACTCCATGTGAGACACTGATTGTGCACTGCTTTGGGAGACTGTAGATCTGGCAGTAGTGCTAGACGGCAGGGCGCTGGCTGACTGAGCCGGTCCGGAGACGTTAGCGTGCGCTGATATCTCATCCATACCGTCTCCGAACGCGTCCAGGGACGACTCAGCGCTTGCACTCACTGGCTGGGCAGCCCGACATGCACGAGCGAAGTGATTTCGCTTCTGACAATTTGTGCAAGTCTTACCACGTGCTGGGCAGGATGAGTGCTGGTACTTGTTGCCGGACGTCCTGTGCCGCCCTCCGCACCAGCGACACGGACTGAGCTCCTCCTGGCTGTCAGCATTGGGCGGCTTGTCAGGTTTGTGTCGCTGCTGTTGATATGCAGAGCGATGAGCCGCCGCAATATCTGGTGCTGCCTGTCTGCTGGTCGGCAACACGCCCGTCTGAAGCTGCTTCTCGCTATCGTCGGCAGCCTGCATCGTGAGAAGGGCCTGGAATTTCTGTGCGAATGTCGGATACCGATCGGCTGCCGACAGAATTTGGCTTTGATGCTCTGGGTTGTAAAGACCGACAACCATCTGCGTCTGTAGCACGTCCTCCTCGTAACTGATCGGGCCGGGCTCGGTGCTTTCTGCGTGAGGTCTATGCGCAGTTACTGAGAAGTCGCAGAGAGCGGCTTTGGAACGTAGCCGCGCTACGAAATGCGTGATATCCTCACCTTGGGCCTGTCGAAGTGCGTGGAACTGGCTCCGATGAACCGCAGTATGCAGGCCACGAACTGCCACCGCCTTTATCTGAGAGAGAAGATCGGCCTCATTCGACTGACTTAGAGTTGTTCCTCGCAAGTGGAACAACTGTCTTTCCAACTCCGGGCTGCATGCCGATAGGAGCTCGTGTCTGATGGCTTCCTCTCTAACAAGTCCAGCGACTGTCTTGTATCTTTCCCATTGAAAGAGAAACAATCTCCAGTCTTCGTCACTGGCATCCAAGGCTACCGTCGGG